AAAAATAGAAGTAAATATTTATGATCTTGGGTTAGGCAATGTTTTCTTAGATACAATACCTACAGCATGAGTGACAAAAACACACAAATAATTCAGACTTTATCAAAATTAAAAACTCACGTTCTGTAAACAATGTCATCAAGAAACTTAAAAGATACCTGAAAAATGGGATAAAATGTTTGCAATCACATACATGATTAAGGGACTTGTACAAGAATACAGGGATGGGCAAAATTAGGTTTACAGTTTACTAATAAATAATGTGATAAATAATAACACAAGAAATAAACTCAATGTTTCACATACTCACAACTGCAAACTTACTTTTGCACACCTTGTATGTATGTCTTACAACTCAGTAACAAAAAGACAAATTACCCAATTTAAAAATGGACAAATGATCTAAATAGACGTTTCTTTAAAGAAGTTATATCAATGGCCAATAAGCACTGAAAAGATAATTAATATCACAAGCCGCCAGGGAACTGCAGATCAGAACCACAGTGAAATATCACTTCATCCCCTCTAGGATGGTTGTAATAAAAAAGGCAGACCACAGCTAGTGCTGGGCAGCGCGTGGAGAAATCGGAACTCTCGTTCTCTCTGGGTGGGAATGTAAGATGGCGGGGCTGCTTTAGAAAACAGTTTGGTATTTCCTCAGCATGTTACACGTAGAGTTACCATACAACCCGGAAATTCCCTTATACACCCAAACAAAATGAAAACATACATCTATGTAAAAACTTGTACACAGACATTCACAGCAGGATGATCCACAGTAGCCAAAAGAAAAGTAGAAACAACCTAAATGTCTATAAAATTATGAATGGATGAATAAAATATGGTGTATTGACAAAATAAAATATTACTTGGCACCAGAAGAAATGATGTCTTGATACATGCTACCACACGGATAAACTGTGAAAATATCATGCTCAGTGAAAGAAGTCAGTCACAAAAGACCACATATTATATGATTCCAATTGTGCACAATGTCAAGATTAGGCAAATCCATAGATTCGGAAAGTGACATAGAGGTGGCCTAGGATGTGACTCAGGCAGAAATAGGAAGAGACTGCCAATGGGCCTCGGGGTTTTTTTTGTAGTGATGAAAAATATTCTAAAATTACATTGTGGTGATGGTTGCATAGCTCTGGGACTATATTGAAAAGTGTTGAACTTTATGCCTTAAATGGGTGGACTGTACGGTGTGTAAATTATATCTCAGTAAAGCTCTAGAAAAAGAAAGGAGTTGACGACGACGACAACAACAACAACAACAACGTGTTTTGAATGTTATGATTGGGGAAGTGTGACGTGTGAGTAAATAATGTGGGAGCCCGATAGGGCTGAGACAGGAATGATCAGGGGTCAGGTAACTGACCCCAAGGTGCAGTAGACAGTAAGGACAAAGTGCTCTAGGTTGGGAAAAGAATAAAACATTAAAGAAGGAAATAAAGTTAATGCCAGAGGGGTGGGAGTAGAGCGCAGGGAAGAGGAGAGAAACAAGGTGTGGTTAGACGGCTGGGCTGGGCGAGACAGTGCAGACCGTGTTTAGAACTCACATTTTTCCTGAGTATCGATAGGAAGATGTTGAAGGATTTTAACCTGAGGAGTGCAGTGAATAGATCTGAATTTTTAAAAGTGTGCTCAGATTTCAGGAAACTGATTTGAGGGATATGAGTGGACACAGGAAAATCAGATAGCGAGCCAATGCAAAAGTCTGAGAAATCCAAATTCAAGTAATTCCAGGAGGAAGTGGGAGGTAAAGGTGTGGAGACAATTAGCTCTCTTGATGAAATTTTGCAGTAAAGGGAGGAGAGAGATGGAGTTGTGGCTGGAAGGGAATGTGAGATGGAGGACATTTAAAAGGTAAGTATGTTTATATGGGAATTAGAAGGCTCCAGAAGAGAGAAAGGGTTAGATCTCAGAAGCCAGAGGAGAGAATTCATCCAATCAAGCCCTTGCGAAGGTGGAAGGCAATTAGATCCAGGACCTCCTTGGAGGGATGTGCCCTTTAGCATAACAGGAGGGAGCTGGGAGATGATTACAGATGAAAGTGGGTTTGTAGATTTGGGGGCAGAGCTTATTCATCCTCCCGCCTCCAATCCTGCAAGGCAACCCATGAACCAAGAGTGCGTGGACATGCTTCAATAATGTGAGGGCAGAGGGCGGTGACTAATGAGGAAGTCGGGGGAGGCCCCTGGGGAGGACAGCAGGCATCTCTGAGACTGAAACATGCATAACCATGCTGCTTGGAGCATATTTCCTTCTGCAATAAGCTTAAGGAGCAGGAAGTGTGGAAAAATTAGTAATGAGGAAATTGAGTCCCTTTATAGGAGGAAGGATAATGGGAGTCCAGCTATTTCAAAAGTTCAAGCTTTAGGCCTAATATGCAAAATTAGCTTAAAGATACAATCGATGAATCATTCCTGATATTTGAAATCATGCAGACTGAAATAGGAATTAGGCAGATTGGAAACTGGAAAGGATCAAATGTTCTATTTTTAAAAAGGAACGAGAGGGGAATTCAAGAAAATATAGTTCAATCTAATTAGCTTGACTCTGCAATGTTTGTTAACTTGTGTTCATTAGGAGGCACTAAGCGTTCATCAGGAAATATTTATGCTAAAATATTACTTCTTTATGGAGACAGTGTCCGTGTCATGATTTCAAGGCACATGATTGGGAGATTAACTAAGTACTGCTTATGGAAATAATAGGACCCCAGAATGAGTTCACCACAGGACTGCTGCACTGGAGAACTGTCACTCCGAAGGGACGTTGGCATGTACAGGATGGCCACCGATAGGTCCTAGACGAGAACCACCAGGGCTCACTAAAGAAGAGAGGCTTTGGGTTGGTGGTAAAGCTATTCTCAAGTCTCTAAAGGCCTGGCATGCCCAGGTTTGTTTTCTGTTTTTTGGGTTTTTTTTTTTTTTGTCTACAGTGATTCAGAGAAGTAGACTTGTCTAGAGATAAAGAATACCTAATACCCGAAGATGTCCAACAATGGGAGCACAAAATATTGAGCTCCCCAGTCCTGGAAGATTGTAGTAAACTCTGCAGGGGCTTCTGCTACACTAGAGTGGGGTGTGGGCTATGTATGTGTAGGGTCTGTTCCATGAAAGGAAACATGTAGAAGAAATGTTGCATGAGCATGAACTCTTCCGCACACTCATGCCAGAGGTATAGATTTTGATGCCTATACACGCCTGTGATGTGTCCAAAGCTACACAGTGGGACAATGGAGGATATGGGGCTGGACCATTTTGATCATTTTGATTGAACCACTCATTCACCTTTCCTGTGATCAGTGATTACCTTTCCTCTTTGGAACTTCAATTAAGAATTCTAGAATAAAACTGGGCCCTGTTTTATACCACACTGAAAAATCAACTCAAAATAGATTAAATATAAGTGCTATAAGATTAAATAGATAAAATATAAGAGCTTAACCATAAAACTCCTAGAAGAAATAAGTATATGGGGTAATCTCCTTGACATAGGTCTTGACAATGAGTTGTGGGATTAGACACCAAAAGCAAAAGCAACAAAAGGGAAAATAAATAGGTGAGAATACATCAAACTAAAAAGCTTCTGTATATAGGCAAAAGAAATCAACAAAATGAAAAAGTAACCTACTGAATGGGAAAAAATATTTGCAAATCATATATCTGATAAGGGTTTAATACCCCAAGTATACAAAGAACTCATACAACTCAGTAGAAAAAACAAAAAATCTGATTTAAAAATGGGCAGAAAATCTGAATAGATTTTTTTTCCAAAGAAGATGTTCAGATGGCCAGTGGGTACATGAAAAGTTGCTCAACATCAGTAATCATCAAGGAAATGCAAATTAAAACCACAATAAGATATCACCTCACACCTGTTAGAATGGTTATTATAAAAAAGGCAAGAGATAAATATTGTGGAGAATGTGAAGAAAAGGGAACTGCTGTGTACTGTTGGTGGGAATGTAAATTGGTGCAGCCACTGCAGAAAACATTATGGAGTTTCCTCAAAAAACTAAAAATAGAATAGAACTACAATATGATTCAACAATTCTACTTCCAGGTTTCTATCTGAAGGAAACAAAAACAGTAACTTGAAAAGATATCTGCACCTCTGTGTTCATTGCAGCATTATTTATAATAGCCAGGACATGAAAACAACTTAAATGTCCATCAATGAATGAATGGATAAAGAAAATGCCATGTATATATACAATGGAATATTATCGAGCTATGAAAAAGAAGGTAGCCCTGCTATTTTTGACAACAGGGATAGACCCTGAGGACATTATGCTAAGTAAAATAAGTCAGACAGAGAAAGACAAATACCATATGATAACACTTATATATGGAAGCTAATCAGCCCCACCACCCAAACAAAAGAAAACTGAACTCATAGATACAGAGGTAGGGGTTGGGGAGTGGGCAAAATGGGTGAATTTGGTAATAAGGTACAAACTTCTAGTTCTAAGATAAAGAAGTCCTGGGTATGTACAGCATGGTGACTATAGTTATCAATAGTTTATTGCATATTTGAAAGGTGCTAAGAGAGTAAGTCATACAAGTTTTTACCATAAGAAAAAATTTGTAATTATGTGTGGTGATAGATGTTAAGTATACTTATTGTGGTGATCGTTTCACAATATATACATAGATCAAATCATTGTTATATACCTCATACCAATACAATGTTAGATATCAATTATATCTCAATAAAAATTAATTTTGAAAGAAGAATTCTAAATTCCTCATTCATGCCCTTCAGGCTACTCTCTGTCAGGAATGCTCACTGCTCCCCACGGCCTGGATAAAATCTGCAGCATTGGCTTAAAACTCAGGCCCCTCCTACGCTGCTGAGCCTTGGTTCACACACAGAAGGGGTCTGTAACCTCGTGGGAGGCTGCTCCCAGGGAGAGAATTTTGTGCACAGTTGAGGGGTGTTGTGCCCCTAGGAAGAAATGATACCAAAGCTGCCATGTCTTACCGGGATTCTGGGGTCTGCTTCACTCACTTCTTCAGTTGTACATGACCAGGTTCATCCACTACGAAATAAGCATTACCATTACAACCAGCCTGTAAACGTATTAGCTTAACACAGATCAGGGCAAATGGTACCCTCCTCCCCTGAAGGATCTCAGTTTAGTCTCATCAACCCTTTCTGGCTAATTCCAGCCCAAGCAGGAGGTCCCAGCCCCCTGTCACAGTGTATCTTCTGCCACGCCCTGAACAGCCAGGCAATGGGAGGGAGAGCAGAGGTCGACCAGCTGGCTGGGCCAGGAGGCCCTTCTAAAACTCAATGGGAGTAAGTTTAATGTACAGTGAGCTCAGCAAGTGTTCTTCAGTTCCCTCTTGGATTTATGACTCCCACATAATCCTCTGCTTTATTAAGCTATCGGAAAAAAAATAAAATCTGTCTGCCAAGATCCTAAAGCAGCCTTGGCAGCCAGCAATATATAAAGGCAGTAATTGGAGGCAGGGGGGCTGGCAGTTTGGCTGGCCTTTGACAGGCTGTTCGATATCCTCAGGGAGAAAAATGCCCCTGGAACCAGAGGAGCAGAGGAGGCCTGGGGCTGTACCGTGTCTCTGGGAGGGCAAGGCAGCTCACCTCCAGTTTTGTCAGGTAGAGTCCTTTTCCATCCTTGGAGAGGTTCTGGAAAGCCTCTAAGGTAAAGAGGAGGAGAGGAATCAGCACAGACAAATATAAAAGCATGTGTGGTGGTTCTGCACAAGGGCCTCCCTCTATACAGGGTACGCTCGGCCTTGCACCCATGGGACCACTCCAGGCTCATGTCTTCTGAATAGCGCTCTGGCCGCTCTGGTCCACATGCCCCCTTCCCCTCTTGGTCTCCTTGCACTTGGCCGTGGGGAGGTATGGGCTTGTCTTAGGACATTTCGGGGGCAGTGTTTGGGGAACCTCCCTTGTCCAACTGAAAACTCTTTGGAGTAAGGTTTACGCCTCAGCCTTCTCGTTTACCCTCCCAGGGCTCCATTCTCACAGTCATAACATGAATTGTTGAGCTCAGAGAGGCCATGAGGCAGGCACGGTGCAAGGATTAGAGCAGAGGCCAGATCCCACTGCTACCTCAACCACGGCAGCTCCACTTTGAGCTGTTTCATGGCTGGGGGTTCTCATAAGATTTCATTTACAACAAAGGGCATGCCGCTCAAAAGTCTCAAACCTATGGCCTGCACAGTTGAGTTTACAAAGCCTGGGGAGAGACCTCCTCCTGCCCCCAGCTATTTGCTCCATGCGCAATTCGTCAGTAGAGATCCAAATCATTTATGACTAAAGAGTCAGTTTAAACGGTAAACTCAGCCTGAAGAGGGACCCCGTGATTTAACCTTGACCCTGGAAGAAGCATTGAATAAGAAGGGGGAGGAGGAGATGAGAGACCCTGGAGAGAGGAATCTGGAGGAAAAAAGGTACAGAAGGGAGGCCAGGGACGCAAGCCAATGACACCAACTACATAGGCTAACATTGGCTTTGTCTCTTGGGGCAACAGCTTGTCATGTAGGACTCCAGGCTACCCCTTGCCCAAGCTGGGGCAGAAGTGTATCCCTGGTCCTCTCCTGTGTTCTTGGTCACTGTGAAGGTCTCCACAATGTCCTCATGACACTTACTTGCCATGGCTTCCAGTCGTATCAGAAAGCAGACCAGGCTGGGGAAGCTGACCCTGCCGGTGCTGTCACCGTACCTGAGGGCCATGAGATCCAGCAGCTCATTGTTGATGGAGATCCCTGCAAGGAAGTCTGGGCCACAGGTGAGGCAGTGAGCTGGGAGGAGGCCGGAAGTGGGGAGGTCCCTGCCTTGCAAGGCCTGAGAAACCAGTTCTGAGGGCCCAGCGACCTCCCACCAGCATTTCCTACTCAGCCTGGCTCCAGGGCCCATCTACTCCACCTCTGTAGTATTTTTATGATTCTCTAAGTGCCTCTTTCTTGGTGGTGGCTGGGCCTCAAAGACACCATTCCAGAGTTTGGCCAGAGGCCAACTGAAGATACTTGAGTCTGACCATTTGGGGAACGCCTCAGCCTTCATCAGCATCTGACCACACCCAGGTGAGATGGGAGCAGCCTCTGTCAGACCTCTGTCTGCTGGGGACCTTGTAAAAACCACTTTCCTCCCCAACCCCATGGCTACAGGAGGTCTTACGTGTGGTTCCTGGAAGAGGGGGACTCGGTCCTAAATTGGTCATCCAGGGAAGAGACTGGTCCTCAGAGGGGAGACCACACACAACTCATTAGGTGACCTCAGGTGGGCAGGACAGAGATGGCTTGCCCCCTTTGCATGTCTTGTTATATGCTCCAGGGAGGTGCCAGCCACAGAACTGACCTTCGAGCTCTGGTGAGCAAACGGAAGCTTGTGAGCCAGCCCATGTCACAGGGTCAAGCCCAGTTGCCCGGAGGCCCCACATGGCCAGAGACTGCTTCCCCAGCAGAGTTAATAAAATGTGAACTTGGACGCCTTTAAACAGGGCATGCGCTCTCCAGCTTGCCATGCTCTGGCCCCCGGAGGCTTCCGAGGCGAATCCCAACTATGCTGTTTCTTCCTTCCTTTTACCATTCTGGAGTCATTAGTGAGGTCCCCTTTAAAGATTTCATCTTTCACTGGCTACTCAGTGGTTCTCAAAGTGTCATCCCCAGGCCAGGAGCCTGGCCTCACCTGGGGATTTGTCAGAAAGGCAAACTCTTGAGCCCCACGCCGGCCTTCCTGAACCGGAAATGTTGGGTAGCCAGTGAGCCCTTACGGTCTGTGTTTCAACAAGCTCTCAGGCTAATGCACGCTCAGACTGGAGGACCATGGCTCTCTGCCAGGGAGAAGGAAGGGGGATATACACTCAAGTGGGCATCATGAGTCCTGGCTGAGCTATGATGTGTTCCTGCATCGTGAGGTATTATTGCCATCAGCCCAGGACTGAAAGCTCTTGCCTCCTTGAAGCAGGCAGATGCCATTGTTTTCACTTAGCCCCAAACCCTCTGTAAAGAAAGCGTATCAACAGCCTGCCCATGGGGATTTAACCCCGGTGACCCAAGGGCTGAGGTGGCGGTGTCTTCAAGGGGGGCTTTTTTTCTGGTGGGTATCAACCACGTGGGGTCACCTTCTCACAGTTAGAGCGGTGCTGGGGAGAAGGGCACTAGGCAACATTGACTGGCATCTGAGAACTTAGGCAAAGGAAGGAAGAGTCTGAGTCCAGAGCCTAGAGGAGCACAGAAGTAGGGGTGCAGGGGGTCAGGGGGAGAGGCACGGAAGCTGCGGTTCTGTCTGTCCTGCCTGTCCCACACCGCGGCACCAGCCTTGCCTACAGCGAGCCAGGGGTGTGCATCACACATGTCCCGCATCACACAAACATCACTGCCACCCGCCATCATCTCGGCGTTACCTGTGTCCTTTACGGCCCTCCACAAATCCGAGCTCAGGAAATCGCCAGAGTTCCCCCGGGTGTGCAGGTAAACCCTCTGGTAGGGAAAAGAAGCAAGAAGCCCTTGTGAGTCCCAGTGCCCACCTTGAAGAGGATGTCCCAGGTAGAGAGGGAGGTCCCGGAAATCCCTTCTCTATCCCTGGAGGCTGCTTCACTACAACTCAAGCGGGCTCAGCTCCGAGGCAGGCAGGGCAGCCCTGCTGCGGCCGAGGGGAGGCAGGGATGGGCTCTGCCTGATGAAGCGGCCCGCTCTGACCTCTGCTGCTGGGCTGGGGGTTCCTCTCGTTCCCTTCCGTTTCTCTCCCAACATGCTCTGTCCTCTTCCTCATCCCCTTCACAGGGCTCCTGACACCGACTCAAGGCTGCTCTCAAGGCAGCGCACAGCTTTCCAGGGAGGTGTGGAGCTCTCTAAAGAGTTTGCATAGGGTGAGCATAGACTTTGCAAACCACCTCTCCGGGTTTACTTCCCGGCTGCGTAACCCTGGGCAAGTTACTCAGTCTTTCCAGGCCTGTTCCCCCATCAGTAGCGCAGGGCTAACTACCTAGCTGCTGGGTTTGTTGCAAGGAGTGCACCAACAGATGTTGCGTGAAGTGCTGGCGAGTGCCTTGCACCCTAGTGAGTGCTGTGCAGGAAGCTTAGCAGACAGACGGGCAAGGGCTGCACCCGGGACCACGCACATTGCAGGTGATAGCAGCCCTAACACCTCAGTTTTGTACAGGGCAGCTCTCCATCTGCCCAGCGGGTTTCTACTTCTCCCTGACTCACACAAAAACCCTGATTACCTGCATAATTCACAGGTGAGGACACTGATGCCCAGCAAGGGAGGAATTGCCTCAGATTAAGCCTATAAGCACCATGGACCTGAGGGTGGGATTCCTAATTTTGGCCGGTGCACCGCTGCCTGCGGGAGCTGCCCCAAGGCAAAACAGCCCCCAGCCTGTGCGCGGCTGAGGCTGACTTCAGGAGACGGTTGTGGTGAAACAGCGGCTGAGGCACCTTGCCTGGCCTTGTCTGGCTTTTGGTGACAAGAGCCACCAATCAGAGAGTGTTCCAGATGAAGTGTTCACTCATTCATTCAGTAATTCATTAGTTCGGTCATTCGTTCTGCATTTTTGAGCATCCCTTGTGTGCTAGACACTAAGGAAAGTGCTGGGAAAGGAAAATGACTAAGAGGGAACCCCTGCCCTGGGGGACCCCACAATCTAATGGGGGGGACATGTCAGCTACTGCAGAGCCCTGTGAGAAACCAAATGACCCCAAGTCAGGGATTACGTCATACACCCTGGGATGGCCACACACACACAGGAACTTTCTTTTATTGTTGTGAGTTCAAGTGCTAGGAGCTGAGTGGAGCACTAGCCAGGCCTGGGTGAGGCTCCCTCTCTTCTGTACCCCGCACACCTGGTGCAGGACCGGGCACCAGTCACATCTGCTCAACGGGATGGGACAGTGCCAGTCCAGAGAAAACATGCTGGTACCTGGCAGCAGAAGAGACGGGTCCACAGCCGTGAAAACTCCTCTTGGTCGAGCTGCCCATTCACCTTCAGCTGCTGGGAGTTCAGGGTTAACAAGTCTAGCGGCTCTGAGCAGAGGGCTGCAGGGCCCACCAGTTATCCCTCCATCTATCAGCTGGGGACACGGTTGGTCCAACATCTCCCGGGTGGGGATGTGGCCTTGTGCCAGCGGGCTCCTGCCGCATCTGAAAGGGACCTGGCTTCAATTTATATTACAAAGGAAGATGGAGAATTGAAAGGAGAAGGCCCTGAGGACAGGGGGCCAACTTCCCTTGCATCCAGAGGAAAGAGGGCCCAAAACACAGCCTTCTCCAGCTGGATGGGGCTCCCGGCAGGGGGCAGTGGGGAGGAGCAAGAGGGAGACGTGGCAACTCTGGAAGCAGCCTGAGGAGTGACTGTGGGCCAGGTATGCAAGCAAATGGATGGAAGGCATGGCACGTATTAAAGCCAGCCCTGGTCACCCCACACGATGGGTTTCATGAGAACTAATGAAAAGAACAGGTGTCAGGACCTGGAGTGTGAGTAGGAAGGAGGGTAGAAAAGATCTGTCTGCTCTGCAGGGGGTGTAGACCCCCTGGGGTTCCCTGCCCCAGGCTGTGGGGCTGCTGTGGCCATTTCATCTGTGGGGATGGGCAGTGTCTCCAACCGATTCCAAACCACCGCAGGCAGAGACAGGGCCTGATTTATGATTTCATCAAGAAGCCCTCTTGTTTGACAATGACAGGGTTCACATTCCCCATCGAGTCTTGTGAAGAAGGAAAGAGCAGGGTTCTGTCCTGTTCCTGGAGACAGCCCACTTGGAGGGAAGAGCTACAGGCAGAAGCTGAGGTTCCGTACGCATGGAGCTTGTTCCCCCCTGTCTGTTAGGGGATGGGGCCAAATGGCTCATCAGAGAAAGAGGCCAGGATGGGAGTCTGGGGACCTGGGTTCGATTCCCAGCTCTGCCACGTGTGGCCATGGAGCTTGGACAAATCACTGGGCAGCTCCAACCTCCATCTCCCCACCTGCACATGAGGGTTTCAACTGTCCTACAGACTAAGGATTCTCTGCAAGTTTCAGTGGTTGGGGGTTATTGAGTAAGAAATTTAAATAGTGAAGGCTTCTCCAGTGGTGAGGGAGGGAAAGGGTCGAATAGTTTCTATCCCTGCTACAGGGAGGCAGGAATCCGGGCACAGGTCCTGACTAGCTGCGTAATCTGGGCAAATTGATTTAACCTCTCTGAATGCCTGCTGCCGTTGTACGATGATACTTATCACAGGGGTTGTTATAAGAATTACAAGGGAAAAACATATATATGCCCATATTGTTCTTGACACACAGCAGTTGTTGGTAGATGGTAACTATTGCCATAATGGTTATTCCAGAGAGTTGGGGTGCTAGTCTAGAATCCACGGAAACCCAGACCCTGTGGTGAGCTCTTAGAACCAAGAGGAGCAAATACTGAGAGAAAAGTGTCCTCAAACACCCTAATTAGACTCTTGGGGAAGCCCATAGAGCAGATAGGGGAAGGGGAGGATGGCTGCAAAGGATACATCCATCAGCGCCACAATGCTCCGGCACTCATCCAAAGAGAACTTGTCCCCCGGAAGCCCTGAGATGGAGAAGAACAGGGGGACTGAAATGTCAGGCAGGGTGACGGTGGACTGGCTTGGCAGTGGGGGTGACGTTGGGGACAGCAGGTCCTTACCTTTCAGGAATTCCTGGTTGAGAAGGCTCTGGAGCTGAGTGGCATCAATGTTTAGTCCCTGATCCAAACAAGGGAGGAGAGCCCAGATTGTTCAGTGTCCGGGAGCTGAGGGGCGCAGCCAACTGGCTCCGCGAGAGCACTCGGGTTTCTAACCTCAGTTCCCCCCCTTGCCCATCTCCCTGATGTCATGAAGCCTTTCCTGACGGCTCCCTGCCACGGTGATAACTCCCTCCCCTGCTCGTCCGCAGTGCCGATGACTCCTGACATTTGATACTTCGTATAGGTGCTTTGCATTTACCTCTTCATTCGTTATTGGACTGAACGCAGTGTTTGCTTCCTCCCCACCCTGCTTGGCACTTGGGAGCCCCTCAGGAGAAGTATTGCTGAACGAACCAATTCAGCCTTGTATGTGTATCTCAGCATTTGCTTCCAGAAAGAGAGTAAGAAAATACGACTATTGAATGTACGCATGTGCGTATGAATGAGTGTGTATGTGGTGAGAGAAGATGAAAATGCTGGGAACCTAGGCTGAGAGAAGCTGCTCTAATTGAGCACATCACTTAGCATTAGTCTTCCCAGACACTGAAACAGAAAGGGAGACGTCGTGGTTTTCCTTGGATTACAAATGGGAAGAAATGGAGGTTAAGGGAAGAGAAATTTTCTGGCCTGAACTTCTGGAGGCATTAACTGGGGACATCGAGCAGCTTTATGGGCAGTGTCTTCCATGATGACTTTACAGAAAAGAAGAGCAGTTCTACATGTGGCCATTTCTTACATGTGCCTGGTAAAAGCTGAGGGGAAATGTGATGTCAACACCCTGGAAAATCTTTTACATGAGGGAAGGAGTTGGAGTGAGTTCTCCCAGCAGGTGTCTTTGCAGAGTGACACTAGCTCAGGTGGAAGAAGGTGCCTTTTGGGGGTCTTCTGAGCACCAGCACCCCATAGATGACAAACGTGCTGTCCTAAGGGTTGGCCCTAAGGTCATCCCTCCAAGCCTCCCAGGTCGGTTACATCAGGGAAGTTGGTGTCACGTGCCCACAATCAATGGAGTGTTTTCCTCAAAAGAATTGTGGCACCTTGCTTCGCCATGTTGGTGAGAAATTTTAACTAACAAGCATGGATCCTACCTCCTTCCTTTGCATGTCTGACAACCTCCTAACAGCCCCTGACCTTGCCCCTGGAACCAGTAACCACCAAAATGTTTGAGGAGATGAGGCTAGGAATGGAAATGGAGTTGGCCTCAACAAATTCCCAAAGAATTGCTCTCTGTCTCCACGACCTCCACAAGATCCCCAAGGACTGGCACTGCATTCCCAGAGCTTAGTGTGGTACTTGGAATGTCCTAGGTATTTGGGACATGTTTGCCAAATGAATAAATGATGGATGCATGGACCTGGCCTGTCCCAGAGGCCAACTGTGCCCTTGTTTGCCCACAGGCAGCCCCTGGGTAAGGGCACCATCACCACTACCATGGCTGAAGAAGGACTCATAGTAGTGGTAGCAATACATCAAGTCCTTGTATTCATTTAAGGTTGGTTAAATGGATACAAGAGATCAGGAGAAAGGACACAGTGGTGCACAGACAAATATTTTGCTTTCAACTTTCCTTGTGGAGGAGGGGCAGCCTCAGAGTATAGTTTGTAGGTTGTGCAGAATGAGGCCAGGTTGGTCCCACTCAAGGTGCCTGGGCGAGGCATGAGAAGGGGCTGGAGTCCAGCCTGGGTTCTACTTTCTGCCCGTGCACCTTGGCACCAAGCTGCATCTGTGCCTCCTTTCTACAAGGGCCCTGTATGAGCTCCAGTTACCCTCTACGAGACACTGGTTGTTGTTTGGAAAAATCTTAATTAGAGAATCTACCATTTTTCATCTCACAAATTATAATTTTTATTTCAGACGTGCAGGTTCATAGACCGTGTTGAGGATTTTGCCACCAGCTTGGTCTCAGGTATCCTCATCAGGTCTTGCTGATCACCTTGGGACAGTGACCTGAGCTTGGGCATCTGCTCTAGGGAAGTTAATCTGTCTTCATTCAATGCAAATTGATTGAGCACCTTCTCTGTGCCAAAGGCAACGATAGGCCTCGGGGACAGGAAATGCATATGAAGTCATCCCTGCCTTCAGGAGCTCACAGACTGAGACAACCATCTTGTATCAAGTGAAGAGCCTTTGGAATCAGCCCAGATGTGGACTTGAATCCTGGGCTCATATTGATTTCAAGAAGGTCCATACTGAGCTGTTCCTTGCAACATGTAGCCTGCATGCCAGCTAGCCACACTTTTCATTTATCCTTGTGTTCTCTTCTGAGCCCAGGCTACCTGAATAATTCTGCTTTGGGCTGCCTCCTGGTCACCACTGCCCCGTCAGCTGTCCGCATGCCTGGTGTCCTTCCTGCCCTTGGCCTCCGCCAGGCCCGAGGCTGGCACCATGCCCATGATCATCTGTATCACTTTCCACACCAACATGATTATTAATTGTAAATCACCCATTATGCGGAGCCCTTGGCAGCTGTTTTTCATCCTGACAAGTCAAGGAGTTCTTTATAATGGTTTATAAAACCATTAAGAAAATCCCCTGTGGACATAGGTGGCTTGCTTGGCAGGAAGAACACTGTTGGTGCTTTCTGCCGCGGGCCAGCTCCCAGGGGGAAGGATGCCAAGGTCAGTGGGAGCTGGCAGAGTGGGAGGAGGAAAGATTTCAAAGGGTGTTGTCAATTGCATGTTTAAAGATTTAAAAAGCCCACACACTCCCATACGGAGCCCCTCCCCTTCCAAGCTCTACATTCCGTTCCAGATGTCACCCAGGTGGGGTATCACTTCTCTCCAGGGTTTGGTAGCCTGATCAGGTCTGGAGATGTCACTTTTCTTCTCTGTCTCCTGATAAAAGCCTGGGAAAGATCTCTTCTCTCTGGTCCCTCTGTCATCTGTCCCAACACAAGTACCATACCTGCTGAGCGTATTTGTAGAAAATGCTTTGTAGGGAGCCATTTTCTGGCAGACCTGCCTGGATCAAAGGGAAAATAGCCAACGTCAGATTTCTGGGGGAAGAGGGCATCTGTCTGGTACAGTGAGGGCACAACCACCCCCCAGCTGGATCTGAGACAGAGGCGTCATCCAGTAATTGGGTACAGCCTTTAGGGGAATGGGAAAATGGAAGCTTGTGGAAAGAAGATGGTTGGGTGCAGCCTGGCCTTGGAGGCTTGGCCTTCTCCCCTCTGCCCTGCCCCATTGAGCCATCATTGGCCCATTATGCTGCCTCTGTTTCCATTGATCAGTGGTGAGGCAAGAAGGAAGAAGATAGAAGTTCTTGGAGATGGCACATAGCCAATGAAACCTACCGACTACCTTCCTGCACACCTACCTTCAGTGCTTCAAGGTTGAAATTGCTGCCTGGGTTCCTAGAAAATCAAGGGGACAGTGTGACAAGAATGACCAGCTCACTATTCAAAAGAGGCTTGTGTATGGAGGGCACCCTAGGGGACATTTATGCCAGGGGCCTGAGGGGGGAACCCTCAGCCCAGCAGGATGTGAAGTGGGCAGCCATGACAGTTAGCAGACAGATGAGCATCATGACCATGTGTCCTGTCTTTTGGGTCATCTGATCCTTAACCATTTAGTAAGTGGTTCCTTTCACAATGAGATATGCAAGTACATAAGCCCCCATTGCCAGGATGACAGATAAGCTTTGTCTCATCTTCCAACTCTGGTGGCCCAGTGGCTCTCTGGCCTGCTGGACTGATAAAGCTTCATTCACGCTCAACTCTAAAGACTGCCATGGTTATAGTGATGTTTGCCTCGAGTCCAAGAGGGGATGAGGCACCCAGTCTTGACCACTGACTTGACATTGAAGACCCTCCACAATGTGTTTTTATAAAATTAGGTAGAATTTTTATTTAGAATCCCAGAAGGTCTTACCTGTCAGTGTTTGACATTTTCAAGAAGATTCGGAGCAAGAACTCAATTGCTTCGCTGTACACAAACACGGCCACCACATAGGTCCCCGGGCTTAGAGTGAAGCACCTTGTGAGGTTGTACTTACTTCTCGTCACTATGCCATTGCCGGCACTTCTGAATTGGGAAAAAAAGGTCGGTGGCAATCTCTCCTGAAATTGCTGAAACTAGAGGAACCACACAGATGGTGAGGAAGGCCTCGTAGGCATGTGTGCATCCCCACCACCAGGAGAGACCCACCACCTTCCAGACCCCTCTCCAGTCACCAAAACAAGCCCTAAAAAGGGGGATGGTGCTTACTCAAACTCACTAAATGCAACAGGGTTTAGGCTGCTGTTTAATATAGATGCTAACACTACAACGAATGCAAAGAAATATGACACACAGTTTTTATCTCCTTAAATCTAACAGCATCCTGGTATCTGGGTTTCTCTCTCCGTTTATATATAAAGAAGAATTCCATGAAAACTAGTGAGATTGTTTTCACATTGAATTACTTTGGGAGCCCCCAAAGGCCCTCCTGCCCTACCCCTTTGGCGAAGCTCTCGCTGGGCGCTACAGTGCTGCAGGGCCGGGCTCCTTCACTCCCTCCACTTCATCTTTCCAGCAGAGCCCTGAAATTTCTTCTCATTGGAGAATAATAGGCCCTGATCATTTTCCTTTTATTTCAATATTTTCTTAGAGATAAAACAATAAATTTAATGCAGTTCCTATTACTGGATGTCACATACATATTACATAATAAAAACCCCTTACTAAATAAATTTTCCCCAACACAGTCGAGCATGGGGATTCCATTTAGAATGGTTATGCTGCATGAAATGATTATTTGTGAGCTCTGCCTTGGGGAAAAACGGGGAGCAGGGGAGAGTTTGTTGTTTTGTTTTTTTTCAGGGGGTGGGGACAGGTCTGGGCTACAAGATAAGACAGGGGCTAGGCCACTGCCCCAGGAATTCAGCAGGGCTCGGGGCGGACTCTCCAAAATGATTCTGTTGACATTCACAAGAGCCCCAGCGGGTGCGGAGCCTGACTTGCTTGTTGGGCCCTGCTGGCAAAAGTAATGATGAGACCAGTTCTTCTCCAGAGAGTCAGCACTGTCCTGCGGCTGTGTGTGTCTTACGTGTGCATGCACACATGTACATGTGTGAGTATCATGCTCCCTATAATCTAGAAGATAAGGTTTCCCCTGTTCTCCTGTCCTCCTCCTTCCCCTCGGCCCCGTTGCCCTGTCCTAGCTCCGAAACCTGCAGAACTTGCTGAACAGCAGCAAAAAGTGTGAGTGTGGGGGCGTGACAGGAGCTCTTCGGTCAGCACTCAGGGAAATCAGCATCAAATCAACACACAGCTAGTTGCTATTCACACAGAGACCCAACCCTGTAGTCCTAGGGATGGGGCTTGTGCCTTTTCCTGGATCGAGTCCCCACCCCATTCTCCAGCTCTGGGAACTAGAACACTGACCTGTTCCTTGCACCTGAGTACTTCCCTTGAAGCCTGTCCAGAAATTCCACTTCCATGCCTGGGGTGCCGGGGATCAGGGTCATATCCTAAACCCAGCTCTGTGGCTGGGCCACTGCAGTGCCAGACAGGCCTCCTTGTTGCTTGCTTGGTGCCCTGGCGTTCTCAGTATCCCCTACTCAGAGATGCCCTGTCTAGCCTCTGTCTACATGTTGGGATACCCCTGCAAGGTCTGGAGGGGATTTCCTGGACCTGCCAGCCTGCTACAGTCACCGCCCATTGGCTGTGGCTACATCAGCTCCCTCCCCTCCCTCCTCAGTCCCCAGGCAAAGGGGTCCCCTGGCAGCAACATCACCGCAGAGCCCACATCCATTTAAAGGGTCTGAGGGCCTGTGAGCTAGGTTTTCCAAACTCTATCGGTCCTTCTCTATCTTTACTCATGTTTTAAGCCACCTTTCACCAATGCTGAGCCAGAATGTCTACTTCGGACCAGTGGCAATTTGGTTGTAAGAGAAGGTAGAGGAAGTGCCTTGAAGTTGTATTTGTATAGCATGCATGCTGTTTGCGGTGGACTTAGGGGCTGACAAAGATCCCCGCAAGGTACCCCATTAGTCCTGACTCTCATCTTTAATAAAAAGGAACTGGTTGCATCAGCCTTGTCTATTAGAAACCAAATGCTTGGGGATGATTTCACAGTTGCAGCCCCTCTTGAATGTCAAAGAAGAGAACAGCTCACGGGGTCCAACCTTTAGAGCAGCACAGCTAAAATACATCCCTCATCATTGACCTGTTTGGAGATTCTAAGCTTGTAGCTATTATGGGATTTAGCAAGACTGAATTTGCAGCCACCGAGCAGTGAGAAACGTGCCAAGGCCATGGCTGTTGAACACTTTACCGATAGACAGCAACAGAAGCATGAGAAGCCGAGGGAGGGAGGTGGCGGGGCATACCTGAGAGTCGACCTGCGGGGAAGAAGAAAGGCAGGGTCAGGAACCCAAACGAATACACAAAAGCAAGCAGATCCCAGAAGCCAGGCTCAGGGCCCTGCATTCCTTCTTCATGCATGGCCAGCCTGTTCTGTAGCTCACTCAGGGATGAACGGGGACCACTGCACACTCCCCGTGTGGAGCTGTGAAAAAAGAAGCCAAACACATGAGTGGGAAGGACATGGAGGAGGGGAAGAAGGGCCTGAGAGGACGAGACTTGTCCGGTGTCAGCTCAGCCAGCTGCGGTTACTCGTCACAGCAATGATGTAAAACCTGGGAGGAAAGCGAGATGTTCATGGGGCCTGGGGGTTAGACAGATCCTGGACCAAACGTAAATTCTCCAACATCAGAGCTCCAATGAGATGTCAGCTTCTTTTATGCCATCAGACCACTGTAAAATGTGATGGGAATTTGTTGCAGGCTCCCTGGCTTTGTAGAGAATAGATGTGTGTACCTGAATGGGGAAATGCCTACACTCCAGTCTTTCCATGTGGCAGAAGGAAGCACTGAGCATACAGACCATTTTTAAGCCACTCCACAGTTAGCAAAGCACTTCTATGTAATGTGCAAGATTGTCACAGTAATCCCATGAGCAGACGCCTGGCTCCTTATTTTATGGACATGGAAACTGTGCCTCAACAGACTAAGTAGCAGAGATGGGAACAGTGAAGCGGTGTTGCTTCCTTTGTAATTAAGGCCCATCACCAGGCATAGGTTGGCATAGCTGGCAGGGGTTTCAGTTCTTTTCCATGGCTGCTCCTGGGCCCCTCCTATGAAGACAGACCTCTTGATTTGCCCAGGCCGACTTCTCTGCAGACAGAGGTGAGTTGGAAGGGAGCTGGGGTGTCCCAGCCTGGGGGAGGAGCTTTGGAGTGAAGACAAAATGGCCTGCCCACACTTGTCCATTGATTTCATGCAACTAGGAAGTGGAAGTGTGCCCCGAGAGAGCAGAACCCAAAGGGCTCTCCCCCTAGAGCCAGAATTGTTGTTTCCTTTTGAGCTGTGGGCATCCCCAGGAGGGCAAGTGCCCAAGTCCTGCCGAGAGCCCTGGGCCTGCGGCCAGAAGTTCTGGTATCAAGCAGATACTGCCACCTCCTAGCTGCACTTTGGGCAGGTCAGTCTGGCTCTCAGCTTTGGCTTCCACATCTATAAAAACCAGGGTTTTTGAGACAATGAATGTGCAGATGTTTGGAACTCTGAGGTTCTACATCAGAGGACTTCTTAACGTGCACTGCAGCCAGCATGCAGGACTGTTTTGCCATGAACGGAGCCCTGCCTGTCGATGTGTGGGCGAAGACCCACGGCTGTGAACACTGCCTTAGTCTCACTGAGCAGAAGCTGAGATTCCTACAGGTACTGTAATCACAGCTCCAGCCACAGAGGTGACGGGTGTGTTGGACGGCTCAGGGAGCATCGGGTGCCTGGCACCCAGCTCTGCCATTAACTCTGACCGTGTCACTTTACCCCACTGGGCCTCCATTTCTTCAACTGTAATACGAGGAGAGGGGATCCCAGCATTTGATGGCCGCATGAGTTTCATTATCCAAGTCATTGCAGAGGCTGTGGGGTATACAATTTAAGAACCATTTCCTTTATCCATAGGATGCATTTAATTATTTGGGGAAGGAGGAGGGAGCAGAGGTTTCCTTTTGTAACTCGTATTTTAAATGGTATTTTATAAAACAAATTCCCTGATTAACTTCACACAGATGGAGCATGTGCAGGCTTATAGGTAGGGTGAATGTCCCTCCTGCCCCCACTCCCCTGCTTCCTGGAGCTGAACAGCTGGTTGGGAGCGCTCTGAAGGGGAGGGGAGGTTGGGTGGCGAGGAAAGCCTGGCCTTGGGTGAGTGGCTAAGCAGATGCTTGCAAGCCAACCACTGAGCCACAGCAGGACTTTGGTCTAAACATGAGAGGAAGACATACCTCCTGGCTTTATACCTTTTTCCTGAAACTTCTCCCAAACTTTATCTAATGATTCTCAAGCTTTCATTCCACAAGCATCACCCAGGGCGCTCATTGCAATGCGGATTTTCAGACCGGCTGTGGAGATTCAGATTCAGAAGGTTTGGGGTGGTCCCGGGAATCTGCACGGTACAACAGCTGATCTTGGACCAGACCACGTTTTCAGCAACAAGCATTGGTCAGAGCCTGCAGCACACTGGGAAATGCTGGCAGGAGCAGGGGCTGTGTCCCATTGCCAAGTCTAACCTCCTCCCCATCTCAGGCTTTCCTGCAAATTTACGGAGTTGGACCAGATGAATTCCATAGCCCCTTTGGGTTTTATCTCTGAGGCTGTGGTTTAGCGAGATCTCCTAGCTTGGTTGGCTGCTCTCTCCCCATAATGTAGACATGAATGCTCTGAAAGGGCAAACCCAGAAGCAGGCTGCCTTACCTTGAACACTCGGAAGCCTAGTGGAAATCTCTCGTCACTTGCATTTAGAATTTGTGGCATGATGCTGAAAGACACAACGACATTGTTGCCTCCCATGCTCTCTGGCACAGAGAAGATGTACTGCATGTCGCTCTGGAGTCCTCCTGCAAGAGGAAGAACTGTTACTGGAGCTCAGCTTGGCCCCTGGGACTCCACATGGGGCTATGTCCAGTTCAGGGAGCTCTGGGGGGAGGGGTTAGAAATGCTGGATCTTGGGGCCTAAGGCCTGGGTCCCAGTCTCTACAGTTACTAGCCATGGAACAAGCTTCTTTATTTTGTGAGCCTCAGTCTCTTCCTTTTAAAAACAAGGAGGAAGAGTATATTCATCACTTGGCGAAAATGTTTCTTAAACTCTAAAGATGAGGACCAGCAGAGTGAAGAGCCTGGAGGTGGAAAAGAGGGCACCCTGGGTGACGGGGTCATTGGGCAAACCATTCAAGACAGGCAGGTGCCAAGGGGAGGAAGGGCACAGGTCTAGGTGCAAACACTCATGTGCACTCATGCACACACGCATTGTTTACACAGCCTCCCCTATCAAGGACACATAAGCATGTTCAGGTTCATCTTCACAGGGAGCTCTTTCACTCAGCCCTGTCACACATAGGGAGTGGGAGGTGCAGTGAGGCTATGTGACGCTCCCAAGGTCACACAAGATTTATCTCAGGGGATCTCAGCATGCTACTGCAAGATACACCAACCCAGGGGGCGGGGGTGTTCTCCCTGGTGTCTGGGCGGTGCTTGTGGTTGCTAGGGGCAGACAGGCATTACCAAGTCCACTGTCTACAAGTGGGGAGGCGGAGGGCAGACACTAGCTCTATTCCCAGAGTCACAAAGCTAGTATGCGGCAAGGACAGGGTTTAACCCAGCCTTAACTTTTGTCCAGTGTTCTTTCCACGCTCTCCCACCTTCCTGGAAATTACTGAAGAGCAATAATCCTGTTCTACTCCTGGGAGGTGGGTGGACAGTAGGTGAGAGGAGAAGGCGGGGAGGCCCCTCTGAGATTTCCCCGCCCGCCCCCACTAGCAACCACTTCCCTTGGAGAACTACAGCTGTCCCTTTAGGCTGACAAAGTCCTCTCCTCCCAACTTCAGGCTGATGGTCCAGAATCAAGAGCCACTGCGACCTGAAGCCAGGATAGGGCAAGGGCTGGCAGCTTTCCCTCTGGCAGAATCATTACCAATATCATAACTACCTGTGGCGCTTCCCGGAATCCCGTGGCCCTTAAACGTCATTTGGGACCATTCTTCAAGGGACATGTTTCCATGGTCCAGGTTAACTGGGTATTCGTTACATACATACAGACAGGAGAAGTTCTCTTGGAAATCTCGACATGACATCCTGTTAAAAGCAGATACTCATCATGGATTGAGCACTGTTTTTGTCCCCAGGGTGGGGTTCCCACCACTTCACTGCATCTTCGCCTGTCAGCTATGGTATTCATTGACTCACCACAGTCCTACCCAAAGATAGAGCCTCATTCTCATTCTGGGTCACCCACTGCCAAGCACACTTCTTCTAGTGGGTGGGAGGACAAGGACAGTCAAATTCTGGGGTGTGCATGGCACCCGGCAAGGGCTTTATCGCTGACGACCGTCTCCTCGGCTAACCAATCAAACCGTGTTTGCTCAAGGCCCGCAGGGCGACCGCCAGTGTCTCTCGGCTGCCAGTCCTTCGTACAGTGAGTAAAATCGCCTTTTCCTGGGGCCCTTTGCCAATTTCATTGTTGAAGGGGTTTTTTTTTTTTCAATCAGAATAAAAAGAATTCAACACCTAAAATCCCACCTCATGTTGTGATGAAAATGGAGATACCAGAAATATTTTTCCTTCTAATTTACATTTGTTCCTCTAATTCTTAATTACTTAGACTCAGCTTTCTTTTCCCATACGTTAAATTGCGTTTAAACTGTCACCCTCAGAGAAACGCTCACCTCGTCCTTTAAGATGAGAGCATATGGCCAGAAATGCATTTTCAAAACATCTAGTCCCACCTAACTGCTGGGTGATGACACCCGTGTCCCACCGAGAACTCTAGAATTGGGGCTGGGAGAGGGACGCAAAGCTTACTCTTCTGGAATTCAGCTCCGAGGTCCCGGCAAGAGGCATAGAAAATACAGCCATGAAAACCATGCATCCCAGTTTCCAGGAAACTTGGGTTCAAAGCTTCAGCACCAATATTTCCCTTTACCATTAACATCTCTCCTGGAAGCTCCAGTATTTCGGAGATGATATATCTTTCACACAGAGAGCACACAAGTAATTCCCCATTCAAAGCTTTTGTGTCCTGGCTGAGAAAAAAAAGGCTCCCTCTGCACAGGTCTCTGCAAAGCTAATCTCTAGCCTCACAAAACTTTAGGGAAAGGGGGACGATTGAGGGTGCAGACAATTGTTAAGGATTTAAAATATAATTTTAAAAGAAGAGCAAATACCAAAACTCGCCGTCTTCCTTATTCTTATACAGCTGGCTTCTCCGCGGGTCTTGGGTGTCCTGCCACTCCGGGGACCTGCGCATGGGCAGATGGAACAGAGGGTGAGGGCCCCCGGGGAGTCTCATCGCAACCACATCCGGCCCCACAGGGGCCCTCGGCACAGGCCTCCACTATTCCCTGGGCACAAGGGGGGAGTGTCACTCTCCCTAGGGACAGGGTCAGTCATTCCCTACATGCTGACGGCTTCCAGGCTGTCCCCAGCCCACCCGTTTTCCTGAGCTTTGGCTGCATACCTGCCGCTGTCTCTCCCATGTCTCCCCCAGTGACCTCAAAATCAACTCATCCCAAACTGCACTCATCCTCTGGCTTCTCCTGCTGCCCAAATGAGAACACGAGAGCCATTCCCTCTCACACCCCCACATCCAAACAATCACCCCTAGTAACGATCTATTGATTCCAGCCCCTAAGCCCCTCCCCCAGCCATCCACTTACTTCCGTCCCTGTGGCTCTTTTCCCAGTTCAGAACCTCAACCCCTCCTTGGTCTGCCAACTGGTCTCCCTGAACTCAGTCTTGCCCACTTTCCCATTCATTCTCCACACTGATGTCAAAATGATCTTTCTAAACCAGAAATCTGATTATGGCATTTCCCTGCTTAAAACACGTTAGTAGTTCCCTTTTACTCTCAGGATGAGTTCAAACTCCTGAACCAGCCCCTTGGCCTCTACCTACTTCTTCAGTTTACTAGAGCAGCTCCCTATTTCCCACCCCCACCCTTGAATGCTACACTCTAGCAATAATCAATGTCTTCACTTCCTTAGAAATACCGCTGTCCTCTCCCCTCCCCCACCCCTTGGACTTCACCACGATGCTCCCTCTGCCTGGCATACTCCTCCGCCTTCAGTCCTGTAACTTTTACTCATCTTGCCTCCTAACAGGAACTTGCTGGGAAGCTTTGCTTGTTCCCCTCTGGCGTCCCCACTCCACCTCCAGAGTCAATGTCCCTCCTGTGAGACCCATGGCACCCTGTTCCACTCCTGTCTCAGCTCTTGGTACCCCGTGTTGCATGTTACTGTGTGTGCATTACTGGCCATTGAGTCTGCTGACTCTTGGCCACCTTTATGAATGAGTGATGTCTGCAACATCCTGTCCTCAACAGCCCTGGTCAGGTCCTGGAGGCTCATGCCTACGCTTCTTTCACGGAAAAAAATCTTATATTTTGTCTTTCCCTTTCCCTGCTGCCTTCTATTTTTCCCAGCGTTATTGTCTTTTCCAAAGAACCCCATTTGGCTGTCCCCTCACTGGAACTTCTCAACATCCATGAGATCAATGAGCTTCGCTCACTGTGATAACAATATCATTACAGAGACTTAACACAATGCCTTGGCACATAGTAGACATGCAATAATATTTTGCTTGCTTAATTAATAATTAGGATTACCCATTTCATTGGGGTAATGTGTTCCTGAAACTAGTCCTAGGGTCTGTGGTGAGGGAGGGGACCCTCACAGGCAGAAGGAACAGGTGCCCCCCACCCCAGCCCGCTCCTCAAAGTGGAGGCATCCTCAGTGGTCCCGGAGACACCGAAGTGTCATGGGATATTCCTGTGTGAGTGGCTTGCATTGAGTGCCCAGGTCACCTCTGTGCTGGGAGAACAAGGTAGGGACCAACCCTCAGGTTCCTGGCTGCAGGCTGAGCCAGTCAGATGTGCTATTGTAAAATGGCAATTTTATAATTAAGCGATAATTGCATTTTCTGCAGTGTGTAGGGGAAAATAAATGTAGTGTAAATCAATAAGATATCGATTCATGCAAGTTTGCCTTTAAGTGTGTGCGACTGAAATTTCAATTATGGCTGAGATCAGGGCACCTGGCTCTCTCTCTCTATCCCCATTCTTTAGAAAGTAGGGAGGACATCGACCACCTGCATGGAGACAGTGATTATGCAGCCCCATCACTTCCTTCCAGCCTGGTTTCTGGTGGGAAATGTTCAGCTAAAACACCGCCCCTCCCTGCTGTGCACACCTCCCTCTCCTGCTCAGAGGCTTCGTGAACCTGGAGCATGTCCATCCAAACTTACAGCCCCCACTGGGTGCAGCCCCAGCTCCCAGCACCTCTGTCCCCAGTTCCTCTGCCTCAGGCCAGCTTGTTGGCCTCAAACACACTATAAATGTTCCTGGCTCAGCACAGTGGCACACATGTCCCCACCTACACAGTGATCTCTTCCAAAGTGAGTCATACCTTTTTTTGGAGGTTGAACTCAAGTTCAGTCTCATCCAAGAAGCTTTCCCTGGACATGTGCCAGCCCCCCAGAGACTTCTCTTTCCTAATCTCTGATGTCCCTTGTTGCCTTCCCTGGTCATTTGATATTTAGCATGGGAGACTGGGCATGCCTAATATCCAATGCCTACTCCAGGGGAATGTGTCATTGACATTTGCTTCCCCTCCAGCCCTAGCCCAACAGCCAACCTGGAATCAGGGACACTGGCTAATTATATTGCCCCCCCCCCCAGGGTTTATTTGGCAACTTGGGGTGGTGATTGAGGAGAACTGGAAAGGGCCAGAAGTTGTTAAGATTTACATTGGAAAGGGCAAAGGGTAGCCCAGAAAGGAAGGAAGAAGACAGGCAAGAAAAATGGTGAAAGAGCCACTGAGTAAAAACATTGTTCAGTGGTCCCTGGTTTTGCAAACTCATTCCCCTTCTATGCAAGGGATTTAGCACCCAGTTCTCCAGGAGCCTCTGATATCACACCCAGGTTTATTTGTTTTCTCCCTCTTCCTCCTCTCTCTTGCTCTCCCACCCTCTACCCCAATTGTGTTTCCAGCTCCCATTTGCTGAGGGCCCGCTGGTGCATGCTCACATCAGCTGTTGGGGCTGAGAGAGGATCAGAGAGGTCTCTGTCACAACCTCGCCTGGGCCCCACTGGCTGTCCCTGGCCTCTGTCCCTCTTGGCACCACCGTCTCATTCTCAGCAAGTGGGTAGGGATCAGGGACTCATTGTCCTGGCAGCTGGGCCATGCCAGCCCAGCTCCCGGGGACCTCTGACCTCTCAGCTGGGCCCACACTGGTCCGCTGGGTCTGAGAGCAGCTTCTCAGGACACAGCCAACAGGGGTGTCTGAGCCTCGCTTAGCTCTTCTCGCTCGTGTTCTGAACACGGTGCTAGTCCACACACCAGTCCCACGTGAGGGACCAGACATGACAGCTGGGTTGAGTAAAATGATCATCCAGACCTTTGCCTCAGTTTCCCTATGCGCCCTCCCCCCAGAATGAAGTATTTTCCATCCTGAGGATGTGGCTTCATCAGGACAAGAATCCCATAAAACCCATTTATGTGATAAGACGCCTTCTCTCAGCTCTCTCTGCCAGGTGGAACTTGGCTCCTGCTCTGCCCCCCACCCCTGCCACTTTTTTAAAGCTAATTCTGGATATGGGGGTTCAAAGTGCTAGACTATGACCTCTGGAGGACAGATCCTGGGTCTTGTCATCTGTCTATGTGCCACAGTATCCACTAACAGTGTACTTAGTATAGAGAGTACATAGTCAGTGTCTAATAGATGTTTGGTGAATGGCATCATGGGAATGTGAGACAGACCGACAGACGCACAGAGGTGTGAACTGGAAAAACCTGCAGTGAGGTCCGCAGCAGGGGAGACAGACGCCACCCTCCAGGGGCAGAGTGCTCTCTGAACATGGGTCTCAGTGACAGAGTGTCAGTGACAGACAGAGGTGTTTTCAGAAACCATACCCGTCCCTCCAGCGTCCTCTCCATTCGGTGTCGCCCCAGGGGTTCCACAGGCGGATAAGATCTTCCCAGCCCCTCCTGTACTGAATCTGTAAAGAAGAACAGAAAAGGAAACTGTCAGAGCTCTCCAGCAGAAGTCAGCAGAAAGAGGGGATATGAATGCAGCTGCTTTTTACCTCCAAGGACTAATTTAACTTCTGACCTCATTTGGCGGCAGACAGGAAAAAAAAAAATCAATGTCTGCTGCCTGCATGGAGTTGGAATGAGATAGAGGAGAAAATGGCCTCTTCCTGCTCAGCATCCCTCAGGGCAGGTGCAACTTCATCATTCCCCATGGCTGCGTCCCAAAACTTGGGTGAGCCGAGGTTGAAGAGCAGGCAAATAGCAAGGATGTCGCCTCGGGCTACAAACTCTGTGGGTCTCTAGCTTCCTCCAGGCCCTGTCACAGCTGGCATGTCCATGGCAGACATGGTCCTTCCGTGCCAGTCACCCCCTGGGAGTTGCCGGGTCTCCACGGTGCTGTCCTGAGCAAGGAGGCTGATGGCAACAAGGCTGGGACAACCTGGGAATCGAGACGTCCGGGGCTAGCCTGGCCGTCCTGCTCCCCAGTCTCTGTTGATGAGCAGGGCACCTCGATGGCTTGGACTTTTCCCTCCCCCAGGATGGGCACATTTGTTCCTTCGGACCACTGAGGTTAGAGGGCAGAACTGTTGAAAAATTACAATGAAATAATGGCAGCCCTTTGAACCTCCAGTCCCAGATCCAGGAGCCCTCGGCCTGGCGAGAGGAATTAAAATATGATTGAGTTGTAGCTGCGATATTGATCTGTGCTAATGTTGTCTGCGGAGACAGAGGCCTGGAGGGTCAGGGAGGGGCCAGGCTTGCGGGATGGCGCTGGCTAGGAGGAGGCTGAGCGGGATGCCACCTCAGGGAAAAGAACCCGCATGTGGAGGCAGGGCTCCGAACCAGGCACGAGTTCAGTCCTTCCATCCTCCGAGGTAGATTTTTATATAATCCCTGTCTTGCAGAGGAGGGAAGTATGCATTGGAGAGGTTAAGCAACTTTCCTAAGGCCACAGGGTAAGAGGCAGAGGCAGGATTCTGACCCTGGCCCCTGGCAGTCTCCAAAGCCCAGGCTCTTAATTTTGGAACTGGGGGGTGGATAAAAGAACGGCTGCCGTCAGTGTCCAGCCCATTCTCCGATGCGGCTGTGAACTGACCCCGCATATAATCCTAAGCCAGCTGGCCAAGGCTCCTGTGGTCGCACTAGGGCATTGCCCTGCAGGAGCAGGGCAGTCAGGCGAGGGCCTGAGAACCTGGCTCAGGGAAGGTTCTTTTCTGTGGCTTTTCCTTGTCTGCTTCTAGCTTTGGCTGGCACTGCAATGGAAGGTGCCCTGGTTTTGAATGCCACACGGGATGGAGGAGCTCCTGGCACAAGCCCAGGCTTCCCATCCCTCTGCGAGTGACCCCGGGGGCACTCCAGGCTCTGCACGTAATGCATTAATCACCAGCATCTGGTGGAGCCCACAAGCAGGATATGAGTAATGGTGGCCCGGTGGCCCGAAGAGCTTAATGAGCCACCCCGAGTGCCTAACGGACAGTCGGGGGCTCAGCTGGGCGCAGGGGAGAAGAGTAGCCAGGGACTGGAATGGGCTGGAAGCGGGGGAAATGAGGCATGCAGATAGCCGCTCACCCCCTTGCCCGGGGGAGTCATGGACCAAGCTAGGTACATAATAAAAAATGCCAATTTCATTTATCTTCCTGTCTGTGTCCCACCCAGAGGGAGGATGAGCCGATTAAAAAGCACACGGCATTTATGCACTGGTTTAATCTTAGCACTTGCAGAGAGTTATAACCTCTTTCTGGAGGAGAAATTTTTAACCAAGTTCAGTTCTTGGGCTGTTGTCTGACTGGGTTGCTTCTTTTCTGACAGTGCCTCACTGGGGATCCCATGGACCATGGCCTGGTGGCTCAGGCGTCCGTTTGAGATGAGAGGTAATCCAGGTTATCTGTCCTAGGATAGCACTTCCTTAAATGTACACAATCAGATGGTAGTTCCATAGGCTGTAAATACTTACTCCTGGAAAAAGCTTTCATGGTTGATGAAAGCTAAGCTGTACTTGTCTGGTTAATACGGGCATTCTCAGAGCCTTTAACATGTGAATGTCCCTTGTGAATCTCCAAACGGGATGTAGTGAGCTTCACAGAGGGTCTCACCAGGCTGGTGCTCCAGGCAGCACAGGCTGGGAAGTGTCAGCAGCCAGAGTAGCAAAACAGACCTTACAGGACATGAAGTCCTGATCACTTGCCGTCACGGGGGAGGTGTCCTGCTCAGACCACTTGCTGTATTATAAGAACAACTCACAGTGTGTGCTGTGGGGGAGCAAATATTCAAGTTGTTAAAGGGGTCACCGGGAGCCCAAACCCCAAGGAAGCCCACGGCCAGGCTCCTGAGTCACCTCCATTCCCTTGGCCCTTGGTATCTATATGGCCTCTCTGACACTTGACAGTCACTGCCATCTCCTTACCCAGTCCCTGTGGGGACTCACATCCTATGGCCATAGAGACCTCTCAATACACATGTCCCATCTGCCCTGCGTTCAGAGAAGGAACAAAGGCCGTCACAATGTAGAGCAAGGCCTTGCCCAGGAATGACAGATCCACCACGCAGGTGCCATGGCTCTTTCATCCCATGCCCAGCACAGGTATCAGTCACTGATCACAGGTCTCTTTCCCCAGATCTGGAAGTGGCAATCCAGAAAGCATCGCCAACTGACAGAGTTTGACACACAAGAAAACTGACGTGCTGTCTCTAGCCTAGACTTTTCCACATCTAGGTCCTGGGAGTTGTGGGGAGCAGTATCTGTACGTGGCTAAGCGTGATGATGCTATTGGCTGTCCCCACTGAGAATCCAGGGAAAGGCTCAGGAGAATTCAGGGGAAGGGAGTCTGGAACCACTGTGACTGGGACCTCTTCTGGCCTGGGTTTATCAGGACCTCTTCCTTGCTTGTGGGAAATGTCTTTGGAGCTCATCACATATGATCTATGATGAAGGATCAGTGATGTCATCTTCAGAGGCCCCAGACAAATGCATTCACTCACTCATGTAAGTGCACCCATCCGTTGGTCCAACCAGCATTTCGGGTGCCTACTCTTCCCCAGATACTGTGCAAAGGGAGCATTTTTTACTGATTTCTTTAGGGAGACAGGCAGGAGACAGAAGATATTGTCCCTGTTATGTGGGCAGGAACACTCACCAAAACACAAAATAATGGGGCGACTGGCCTTAGGTCAATGGACAGGAGGGACAGGCTGACACAGGGAGAGGGAAACGAGCAGAAGAGAGCTTGCTAGAAACAGAACCTGACACTCCGCTTTCCTTGGCTCATATATGCCTGTGAAAAATGATCCCTGGAGTTTGGAATGCTATCTCTTAGGGCCTAGAAGACATTCTTAGACTCGAGATTTGTACGAAATATAGAGACGAGGGACCATATGTGGGAAGTCACTGCAAGGTCAGGAAGTGCTGTCACCACATGGCGGCTTGGTAAGCACGGACGGAACTGAGGAGCCGTGGCATCACGGCCCAGCCATTTCCAGGGGCCACGGGGTCGTCAGGAGACCTATCCCGCCCAGGCCTCCGCTTCTTCATTATGAATGGAGGAGGCTGGGCATTAGCAGTACTTTCCAGACCAAATGATACTGCACACAGTGACTGCGTACGTTTTTGTGCACCCAAAGTCAGTTCTGTCTCATGGAGGAGACTGGCCCCCCATGGCGTCCTCCTCTCCTCCATGAGAACAAAGTTTTAGCTGGGCATTTGGTGGCCCAGCCAGTGTGTTTCCCAGACTCTCTTGGGCCTCCGTGTGGCCACACGTTTAGGTTCAGATTAACGGGACCCGAGAGGAGACGTGCCTTTCCCAATGTGTTCCTTCCAAAAGGATGTGTAAGTTTTCCCTGGCCTCTTTCTCTTCCCCTCCCCCTGGCAGGGAGATGAGGGGACCTGGAGCAGCTGCCCTGGGCTCACAGGTAGAAGTTCAATGCTGTGGATGGCGGAGACCCCTACTAGCTTTCAAATCACCTGCTTACCTGAGAGAAGAACGAACTTGATCTTGTTTGAGCCCTGTATATTGGAGTGCCTTTGTTACAGCAGTTTAGTTGGTACATTACCAATAAAACCTTCCAGGGCAAAAGTTCCCCCAGAGTCAATAGCTAGTTCGTTCTGCTTTCCTTTGGGGAAATCCCCCAGCCCAACCAGAGAGTCACCCTGTCTGAGGTCATGTCAGTAGCAGTGACCTCTGGTGGGATCCCTGGGAGATGCAGATAGTGGGCACCAGAACTTCTGGGTGACTAAAAGGAAGGATGCTCTCCATTATGGGCGCCGCCATGGGGAAAGGGCGGTAAATACCCATTTCAGCTTCGCTGGGCTTGCAGAAGGCATGTGATTCTGACCCCTGTTTCGAGGCACAAGAACACAGGGCCCAGCCCCTGGGAGCCTTACCTTCTCAGCTCCAGTAATGGTGTAGGCATGTTGGCTCACCAGGCCATTATCCATGGTTGTGGCCATCCCTGTTGGCTTCAAAGGAGAAAAGCAGACTGTGCATTAAACTTTTGCAGGTTCTTCAAAGAAACAGAAAAGCACAATTCATTGGTAGCTAAGCCGTGGCTGGATGAAAGTGTCCCACTGACTCCCATTGGAATGCCACGTATTCCTGGAACTCTTTTTCTAGAAAGGTAGTGTTTGAAGACTGCTGGATGGTTGAGACCCCAGGCTTTTTATGCCTCGAGAGACCACCCCATTAGAGCCCGTAGAGCCCTGAGGACCTGGGCCGCTTGCTCCTCCATTTAGGCGTCATCAGTGACGAAATGCGTCTGCTGGGCATACCCACCCCCTGCTGTGAGTAATTGGGGTTTAAAGTGCATCTTAGTTCTTGGTGGCATTTCAGATTAGGAATGCGTGACTCAAAGCCCACACATTTAAAGAGTGAAGAAAGCAACCTCGTGCGTAGGGGGTTGGCTGTCTCAGAACAGACTCAAATAACTTGGAGGATCGTCCAGACTTTTCAAAATGGGATGCACTGCCTTTGGACACAGTGAGCCTCAAAGGCTTGCTGGTCACCGTGGACACATTGCTGCCGGTCAGGGGGAAGTACTAGGCAAAGACTTTGGAGCCAGACAGCAATATCTGAAGCCCTGCTCAGCCACTTACTGGCTGTGTGAAGAGGGGCATTTTCCTTGGCCTCTCTGAGCCCATTTCCTCCTCTCTAAGTGAATCCTGCAATCCTATCTCAGAGGGAGGGCTGTCCTGAGGACGAAATGCTGTGACCTCCGTAAAGCACGGCATGAGCGGTCCCTGACGGCTTTGACCATTCCCCTCCCTCGTGAATGAGCCAGTGGCTGGACGCCTCCAGGCGATGAGAGGCCCGAACCCATGCAAAGGGATTCCTGGTTTACTCACCCCGACCGGGGTAGCGCAGGTCATCAAGGAGCCTGCCTTGGCTGCTGTCTTTACCATCATCACTAGGTCCGAAGGAGAGGAGTGCAGGTCGATGGTGGTGACCACCCCTCCTGTGAGGTCCACCAGGGAATCGGGGAGGTGGCCATAATGCAGGTGGAAGTAGGAACCGCGAAACCTGGGCAGGGAAAATCAGACCACAGCCACCTGTGGTGCCTTCAGTGAGACATGCCAGAAAGGAGGCTGTACACCTGACCTCTGTGTATGTCCCAGGTGAAGGATGGCCTCCCCACCCTTCCGGGCCCTAGCCACCTACCTTCCCTTCACCTGGATGGAAACTCTAGCCCATGGGCCACCCACAGCCCCACCCTCTCCCCGGTCTCCTGGGCCTGGGCAGCCCCACAAGCGGCAGCGTTGTGTAGAGGCCAGGAACGGAGGTGCTGGAGCCACAGGCCAGGGGGCAGATCCCAACCTCACCATGTACTTAGCTGCTGGAACTTGGACAAGTTCCTCAACCTCATGGGGCTGGACTTAGCGTAGTGCCTGGCTCAGGACGAGCCCTTAATAAACATTGGATATTATGATGATGAGGACCCACCATTTCCCGGTCAGTTTAATAACAGTGGTCAGTGCTTACTGTGTGCGGGGCATCATGCTGGGCACTGAGCCTTCGATGGTGAATGACGCCCCATGCCCACCCTCAGAAAGTTCACAGCCAACAACCCTGACGCCACAAGCAGCCTTTCTTCTCACTCTTGATCCAGGTTCTCCATTCCTGTCCTCAGATTTATCAGCCCAGTATCAGCAGGGAGGTGACTTGGTGGCAGCAGTGAAGATGCCCCACCCTTCACAGGCCAGTGGCAGCGAAGACATTCCCACCACAGCCTTCTTTCTGGTAGTGTCAAGTCCCAGAGGGATCAGGAGCGTGGGTCCTCCCCTGAGGCCGCCTGAAATGGGGCCTGTGACCTTGGACGAGACCCTTCCACCCCCAGTCCTCAGCCTTTCACCTGGAAATGGTCAGGTCGGCTCGATCAGGTCTTGGGGCTCCTCAGACTCTCCTTTCTCACCCTGTTTTCACCTTGGCTGTTCTCTTCTCCCGGGTGTCCCCCAGAATTCACGCAAATTCACTTCAGCAAATACATGTCAGGCAGCTACTCTAAGCAGGACACCGTCGCGGGCACAAATGCTGTGGATGGCTTAGACTGTTACTAAAGAAAGCTAAGGGTACACAGAACAAAATGGCATTCTCCTGGAACAACTGTGTGACTGATCTCAGCTTGTTACCAAACTGGTTTCTAAATCTTATCCTTCTCTCTCCATATGACCTAGGGTTACGCCTGGGACTAGATTCTTATCTCTGGGGTGTTTGCTTGGTCAACCACAAAGCTTACCTTTGATCACAGCTATGCCCGGTGTGGTCTGAATGTCTGTCTGCCTCCCTTGGTTTCTCAGATATACTGACTCCCGGTCTTAGATTAAGAGGGCTTTGCTGAGGGCACTAGGAGTTCACAGAGACTGGGGTTCTGGAACCCATTTCTAAGCCCACCAGCGGGACCTCCTGCACAGTAACAGCCTCTTTCCTGGTGATGTGTTCAAGGGCCCTCCCCGGCTTCCAGGAGGGCTGCCCCGAAAGGAGGGCAGCCGCGGAGTCGCTCCAGAAAAGCAGCTGCCAGACCCTGTCCTGTCCCTCCAGGCCCACGTCCTCAGGGTCTGTGGGCCTTGTCTGAGGCCTTGCACCCACACCCTGCTGCAGCCACCACAGAGGCACCTGTGGCCAGCTGCCCCTCCTCAGTGTCTTTCACAGCCGTCTCTCGCTGTCTCTCTGCAATGCCCACAAAGCCTGTCCCAGCGGCTGCTGGGGGTTTTGACAAGGAGCCACCGCTCTGCTTTACAAACATGCGCTCAGAAATCCTGCTGATGTTTCAGGAACATGGCAGCTTTTCTTCGCCCCCTTTGCTGACAGGAGACAGGAAGGGAAGGGAAGATAGCGAGAGCTGTGTTCCCACACCTGTCACTACGCCTTGTCACCTGAGCCCAGGAATTCTGAGAGAGCCTTGTTCTCATCCCTCTGCCTCAGCCTCATATTGGGGGCATGTCTCTCTTCCCGGAAACGATATGAAAGAGGAGAAAATTCAGCTGTCTAAGTGAGAGCCAGGAAGGATGTTGAAATGCTGCAATTCTCAACTGCAGAGATTCTAGAAGGGACGATATGCAGCCTACCCGATCTTGCCCCCAGTCTTCCCTCTATTTTCTGACCCGAGGGGAAAAAAATCTGAAAACATAAATTCTACCCTGCCCCCAAGTTTGGCTGCCTTGACCAATGTATTTCCAGGCTCCCAGCCACAAGGGTAGTTGGGAGCTCAGAGTCCACGGATTTCCTTGTCAGTGCCCACATCCCTGGAGGGAAAGAGGGACGTCTCTGGCTAGATGGGCGGGTTCTCCGTGTTTGTGCTGTGGTCCCCGTGTGCCACACATAAAGTTCCAAAGAAGCAAAAAAGACAACTCCTTTTCCTATAGGACTGACAGTAGGAAGGGACAATAGAAAAGCATGTGACTCGAGAGAACAGGTCTAGTTCTAGCCTGGCCTCAAACACCTGGTGACCTTGGGCAAGTCATTCCACTTCTCTGAGCCTGCTTCCTCATATCTCAGAGAAGAAGGTACAGCTCAATACTGACAGCGGTCGCTTTTAGCTCAGATAGGCTGCAATTCTGTTTGATTCACTCCTGCGTTCCATAACTTCCTTCTTTGGATGGAGGAAAAAGCTTTTAAACCACTTAATAGTTTGAATCATTTTATCCTCTGCTAGATTTCTTTAGGCAGTGGAATGTGGATGCGAGTCCAGTTTCCCATTTCTTTTCAAGCTGAATGATTGCCTTAGGTCAGCTGTTAACAAAATGGGGTCAGAGTCATCATTTCATTTCGTAAGCTTTCTAAGTCTCCCAGTGCACGGCCAGGCTCCCCTCCCCGTTCCTCTGACGGAAAAACGAGGCCCTGGAGTGGCAAGGCCTGGCTCCATCCTGGAAACATAACAGCAGTGTTTGTAGAAGTAGCTTAGATGTGCATTAACCTCCCCAAACATGTGAATTGGTTCAACAACCTTGACTGTGATCTGGCCTTCGTTCTCAAATCCTAATGAACAGTTTTTCTTGACACGGGAAAGAGCAACTGCTTTACTGTTTTACAAGTTGGCTCAAAAGGAAGAATGCTAAAAAAAAAAAAAGGGAGAGAGAGAGATCTGGAGATGTCTTGCTGTCCAGATTGTGACCTCCAGAAGGACAGAGGCTGTCACCATTTCTCAGGGACCCGGGTGGGAATGGGCAGGGTCTTTGGTCTTGCTAAAAGGTGTCTTCTGTCGAGTGACTGCGGCCCTCCGCAGATTCAGGCTGGCTGGCTGAAACCTGCCATCACGTCCCCGATCAGAGCCATGGCTTCCCCGTTTGGAAAATGCGGGGTTGGTGAGGAAGGTCTTCAGGGAGGCTGACTGGGTAACACTCTCCACTCCCCCTTTCCTCCCAAAAGGTGTGGTCCTCTGTCCTTTCATCTCCTGGTGTTGATTTCTATCTCTGATGTGCCCATCACACGTGTGGGTCTTTAGATAGTGACTTCATACACACACGCTCACTCTCTCACACACCCACGTGAGCCAGCCGGAGTGTCTCTGTCCCGCTGCCAAGCACAGTGGCTGGCCTGTGGTAAAATGCTCAACAGACATCTGTTGAATAAAAGTAACTCAAAAGGATCTTAGTAAAACATGTAAACTGGGATGCTTGAGAATCATTGAGCTTGTCAACACCAGAAGATAGCCCCTGAATCACAGTGTTTGGACCATATAATGGCAACTTCTCCCCACCCTTCACCCCCACATACATACAGTCTCACAGCAGCCACACCAGGCCCCCACTATCCCGACCTCACTTTGAACTGTCGCACACCTAGCTCTCTGTTGGTATCAATCCCATTGTTGGGGACGCCCCCTGCACATATTTCCCCCGCTGCTGAAATTCTACCCACCCTTCAGGGCTTCACTCAATACCTCCTCCTCTGTACAGTCTCAGACTGACTCTCTGTGAGCCCGAACGTCAGGATTTTTCCTCTCTCCTCTGCCCTCCCAGCAGACAATGACCATGATATTATATTTTATTTGGCTCCTATACCAGCCCTTGCAATAATAGCATTGTCAATGCATATCTCTGTCCAGCCCTGCCCTGCCCACCCCTTGCTATGTGCCTCTGGGTCCCTCCTAAGGGCCCCAACACAGCCTTACACACAGTGAATGTTTATGAAAGATGCCCAGCGAGGTGGTCAAGGCTCTGATGCTCCCAGGGGCATCACTTGCATTCAGCAAAGCTGCCAAAAGCCTCAGGGCTGGCTGGTGGGAAGCATCTGTTAGGGCGAGCAGCGGTGCGCGCAGGGCCGGCAGCAAGGCCCTGGGCTGAGGGGCAGGCCCATCCTTACTTGGCATAGGCTTTCTCCAGCAGGCAGGGCCAAAACTCTTGGTTGTTCCTGAAAGGATGCACAAAGAGGTACTCGTTGTTCAGGACAGGCAGGCGATCATCAACCACGACTTCCACCCACTGGCCACACTGCCAGAACTGGAAGAGAGTTCAACACATGGCTCAGCAGAGTTAGGGCAGGAGGGAGCTCCTGGACCCTCTACCTGGGCCAGAAGATAACTCCTGTCACCACATGACCGCCACAGGGCGAAAATGAACTCTGTGCAGAACAAATCTCAGCCGATATTGACAGAGAGAGGGTGGGCATGTCATCTCCACTGGCAGATGGAGCAAATGAATCAGAAACCAAGTTAGACCAGGAAAATACAAGCAGAGAGGAAGGAGACTTAATTAAGGTTCTAGCTCGACTTTGCTACTAACTCTGGCCTTGCTTTGGCAGGTCCTTGGTGAGGTCCAAACATAAGACTCTCCTGGTACAGCCAGGCACCAAATGACAGTAGGGGAAGCAGATGCTGAATGACAAAGGAGAGTGGTAGATCAGATGCGGTCAAGGGGGAGGAGCACCTACTAGGAGCTGAAGGCTTGGGAAAGGAGGTGGGCTTTGAGAAGGTGGAGAAGAGGTGGGAAAGGCGGCCCAGAGGGAGGGGACAGCGTGTGCGAAGGGCTGGAGGCTGAGTGACGAGAGCGCTCAGGAGTGAGCCGTGACAGCCTCGCCCTGGCCCTGCCATCCAAGCGGCAGGAATGACACCGGCTGGCATTGCTGCTGAGAACACACACAAAGCAGATGTTCCATTCCAAAACAGACCGTTTTAATCTTCAGCATTCAGCCCTTAATGGCTCAGCCAGGACATCCCCAAATGAGGAAAATTCATAATAAATCCAGCCTTTTGGAGTTTCTTCTCTGGTCTCCCCTGTGCTGGATAAGCAGCAGGGCTTCCGGCTTCAGGCCTGAGCCTTGATACAGGCAAGTCTCCAACAGGTGGGCTCAACGTAAAGCTGGGTAGATGCGATCTATCATCTGCTCGGCAGCGACAGGGAGCCATCTGCGTGCCATTCCACAGCTGGATGTCCCAGATGCTGGGCTGTTGCATCCAGCTGAGGACACGCTTGCAAAGCAGAGATGGAGACCAAGACAGAGATGTCAATGGAGACAAAGCAAAGATGTTTCGCAGTCACTAATGAACCTGTGCACTGCAGCCGGTTTGGGCAGAGCTATGGATTTGTGTCCCTACTGCAATAAGATGCATCTGCGGGTGCATTTGAGAGCCAACAAGAATGTTATTAGAAGGACATCATGAAATGTGGCTGAAGCACCAAAGAAAGGTAATCCCAGCTCCTAGAAGGAGGTACTGGAAGGATAGCCAAGTCTGGGTTTGGGTTTAATGGGATAGCAAAGTGTAGTAGTAGACAGCATCCAGTCTGTGGAATTGCACTTGAGTCCTGGTTTTGTCTTTAGTTATCTGAGCAACAGACATTGGATAAGGCACTCAATTCTCTGTGACTTGGTTTCTTCATCTGTCAAATAGGGGTAAGAGTAAGAACTGCGTCACAGGGTTGTGATTGGTATCAGATGAGGTTCCCAATGCAATCATAGTTTTGAAAGTAGAAACTGTTTTTCATAGCCTCTGCACTCAGCACCTACAGTAGTGCCTGGGGCACAGTAGGACATCCAGAATGAGGGAGTCCTGGTTTGAATGAGTTGGTCTGGCTGGTTTGCCCTTAGAAGTCACCCTTACCCCATCTTCCCACACTGGCAATGTTGACTGAACTTGCTCTCCCTACACAAAGGGAACATCAGATATGACCACAGTTCCCAGAGAGGATGCGCATGGCCTGACTGATGATCAAAAATGAGGCCACGGGTCTGTGTTTCCTGATTCACCTTTCTGGGTGCAGACAGCTGGCATCAGGGTGATATCTGCAGATTCCTGGAAGCCATTCTGCCAACATCCCTGTGCCTGAGGGAAGCCAGAAGTGTTTGGCAAAGCACCTAATTGCCCAGGCACTGGGCCCTTTCCAAAGAGCAGTGCCCAAGCTCTGAGTGGTGAGAAGAGATGTACAGAGGTCAGCACTGCAACTGTTTCCGGGCAACCGCGGGACTTTCTTCAACGTCCAGAAGGGCAGAGCATGTATGCCTGGGCCTCAACTTGTCCTTACTTCCTGTCACTCAAGCAACACTTGCAGCCCCAAGGCAGCTCAGACACAGCTGAATCTTGTATCTTCTGGCTCATTCCTCAGTGTGGTCCTTGGACCAGCAACATCAGCATCACTTGGGCACCATTAGAAGACTCAGTACGCAAATAATTGGGCTTCAGGAAGAGAGAACAGAATAAAAGATGATGCCCAGAAATAATGGAAGGAAGTTTAGCTGAGTAGAAAAAGGGGGCAATTCTTCAGAATGAAAGGGCTTGCTAAATTCTGGGCAAGATTAATTTTTAAAAGGCATGACCTGGATATATTCCAGGGAAATTTCTGAACACCAAGGAGAGAAAGAGCCTCTTATAAACTTGCAGTTTGAAAGAACCAGTTACGTACAAAGTAAGAGCATAGATTAGCATTGGGTTTTTCTTCTGCAACATCACACAATGGAATAATGTTTATAGACTCTTGAGGAAAGGGAATGTGACCCACGAATCCTAAACTCAACTGAAGTATCATTCTTCAGAAAGAGCAAATGGAAAACACCCATGTAATCTGAGGAAATTATCCAAGGAACTACTCCTACCTAATGAGGCTGAAATTAGAACAAACGTCTTCAGATAAGGGGAAATGAAGGGTGAAAGAAACAATGGTGAGCAATAAGTTTTACATATGCTTTGTATAAGAAACACCCAATAGTGAAAATGAAATTGATAATGAAGGGATGAGAAAAGATAAAACAAGGAAATGTATATAACAGGAGGTTGCAATAGCAGTATGAATTTCCGATAAAGAGGAATTCAAGGCCCAAAGCATTACATGTAACAAAGAGGGATATATTTATAACCTTTATTTCAACAACCAGATAACAAGAACATGAACCTTTGGGCACCAATGAATATAGCAAGAAAAATATAAAGCCAGATCATCTGACAATCTAAGAGGAACCATCCAAACTTTAACTTTGGGGAAGAACTTCAATTTATCTCTTAAAATATGATAAATCACACAGACAAAAAATAAGCCAAGATAAAGCAGGTGCTGGCAGATAATACAATCTGTAATTAGAGAGCTTGATTCCACATATAAAATTCATGACCTTTGGATAGTATATATTCTTTTTTTTAAAGATTTTTCATTTATTTATTTTTAGACAGAGGAGAAGGGAGGGAGAAAGGGAGAAACATCAGTGAGTGGTTGCCTCTTGTGTGCTCCCTACTGGGGACCTGGTCTGCAACCCAGGCATGTGCCCTGACTGGGCATTGAACCAGCAACCTTTCAGTTCACAGGCTGGCACTCAATCCACTGAGCCATACCAGCCAGGGCTGGATAATATATATTCTTCTTGTATGTACGTGAAACATTTGCAAAAACTGGGGGGTGGGGGGAGGAGGACTTGGGCCATAAATAAAATTTTAGTAATTTCCCCAAACATCGAGATTTTATCAATTGTATTTTGTGATCATAATCTAATAAATCTAAAAGTCTAATGACCAAAAGATTACCCAATATACAACTTAATCAAAAGTAAAAATATATTACATTAAAATTATAAAACTAAGATATTTTATATTGAAACCTAGAGATACATGTAAGATCTGAGGAAATTCTATAGTCTTAAAGTTTTTATAATTATAAAGGCTAAAAATATTAAGTCTGAAGGTTCAGAAAATTTTTTAAAAACCAATAAAATTAACCAAGAGAAAATGAACAGGAATTCATGAAAATAAATTAAAAGTAATTATATAAAAAATGAAGCCCCAAGAGAAAAATAATAGAAAAAATAATGAAAACTACAAGTTAATTTGTTCAAAAATTAATGCAACAGATTAGTTGAATTTTTTTAATAAATATTTTCTTTCTTTTTTTTTAAAGATATTTTATTTATTTATTTTTACAGAGAGGGGAAAGGAGGGAGAAAGAAAAGAAGAGAAACATCATTGTGTGGTTGTTTCTCATGCGCCTCCCACTGGGGACCTGGCCCACAACCCAGGTATGTGGCTTGACTGGGAATTGAACTGGTGACCATTTGTTTGGTGTGCAGGCTGGCACTCAATCTACTTAGCCACACCAGCCAGGGCTATATTGGTTGAATTAAGGTAAAAAGGAAAAATAAAAATATAGAATCGGAATTGATAAAGTTGATTTAACCACTGATTAGAAGAAATACATACTCAGAAAATCATACAAGTAACTTTTTGCCAATAAATTTGGAATATAGAAAGAACAGTTGGTTTTCCTAAAAAATCATGAATTTCAAAAATTAACTCCAGAAGAAATAAGAGACTTAAGCAGATCAATTGTTATTGAACACATTGGAAGAGTTAAAGAAATCACATTTAAATAGGAAATAGACCCAAATGATTTAACTATTATCTGTTTCCTATCAAAAAAAAGATAATCAATATTAACACCATTATTCAAATTATTTCAGATCAAAATATATAAAGCTCAATGGGTTTACTTTAAAAAGTTAGCCCTCAAACATAATAATAAAAAAAAATTGGACTCTTGCATATAACATAGATGCAATAATTCTAATCAAATGTTTAGCAAATTAAATCCAACAGTGTATTTAAAGAACAGAGTACTGCCCTGAGATGTGGCTCAGTGGGTGGGTGTCTATCCACAAGGTGAAGGGTCGCAGGTTCGATTCCCAATCAAGGCACATGCCTCGATTGAGGGCCAGATCTCCAGTCGGGGGCATGTGTGAGGCAACAGATAGATGTTTCTTTCACATGTGGATGTTTTTCTCCCTCTTTTTCTCCCTCCCTTCTCCTCTCTCTAAAAATAAATAAATAAAATCTTAAATAAAAAATAAAGAAATGGAGTGCCAGGAAAATCCATTACTAAAATCTAGACAAGGCAAGATTTTGCTCTTGTCAGTCTTATTCAAAATTATGAGGTTTTAACTAATGAGACAATGCAAAAGAGCAGATAAGTTCTATAAATATTAAGAGACAAATTATCCTATTTGCAGATAACTGTAGGTTATTAAAAAATCCAGACTCTACTAAAGAAAAAAATAAGAATAAAGGAATTTGGTAAAGTGCTTAGATACATTTTAATATATAACAAGGAGTGGACTTTTCTCTTTTCAGTAACATCTAGTTAGAAATGAGGGGGAAAATCTCATTCACATGAGCTACAAAACTGTAAAATATTTGAGGCTACATTTACCAGGAAGGGTACAGCACCAATGTGGAAACATAACCATAACATTTTATTGGAGGGCATAAAACTAGTTCTGAATAAATGGAAAGATGGACCATGCTTCTGGAAAGAATCATTAACGTAATAAAAGTATAATTTTTCCAAATTAATACATAAATTTAATGCTGCTCCACTCCGCCTCACAACAGCTTTTCTTTTTAATTAGACACAATGATTTTAATATTCTCATAGGAGAATAAATGTGCAAGAATTACCACGATATTTTTGAGAAAAGAATAATGAATAATGAAGGAGGAATTATCCTACAATATGTTACAACTTACTCTAAACTCCTGTAATCAAAATAACAAGATACGGCATAAGAATAGACATAGACAAAAGCTCAATGATGTTCAAATGACTTTTTTTTTCCTGATTGTTTCTGTCATTCAAAACCATTTACATGAGAATGTTTTAACCTTCGTCTTTCCCCTGTGTTATCAGATCATGAGCTCAAATCCTTTTCTGGAGCCACGTAGTATAACTAACACATAAGCGTCTCTTCCACACCTCAGACTGCCAGACCAAGAGAAGAATCAAGACCGTCACCTCCCGGCGCTCAGAGAAAACCACACAGAGCATCCCAGTAGCACACGTACCCGGAAACAGAAAATGCCTGCATAGTGGTGGGAAAAGCTTTGGTTCCTCAGGATCTTCTGCAGACGCTGTTTGTTCTGTGTCAAGGAGCCCAGCGCTGCCAGGAACCAGCAATCTCCTGTGAAGAGACACAAGCCGAGGGTGAAGGGTCCAGGACACACACGGGAAGCCCCACCTCGTGCATTTCACAGGCCTTTGTTACCGGAGGCCACATACGTCCTTCTGAATAATGCATTTTTTTCCCATCTGACAGAGAATCGAAGGAAAGATTCACTGGGGCCAGTTCTAGGCAGGATAGAGGAGGGGCTGGTGGTGATGGTGTGGGTGACTGATGGCAGTTTGAGGGAGGTCAGGGGAGCCCCAGCCCGTCTGCTGCTGGGCTGGTGGGCCAACATGCATTCTGATTCTCGTTTTGCAAGAGGTACCCAGGGCTAAAGTTAGCGCTGACATCCCTCGTGTATCAGCATTGGTGACAATGGTGCTCTCTACAGTTTCAGAAAGCAGGTTTGTGCTTTACTTTGCTAATACTTGCTCAGCCCCTACCTGTGTCCAGACCCCTCTAGGCCACTCAAGGGTTCTCTCCTCTACCCCCTTGAGGGACGCGGGGCCTTGAGTTTCTCCTTGGATGTCACGGTGAGCCCTGTGAGCATGAGCATCACCCCCTTCTCCAGAGTCCTCCCTTCTTTATCTTCAACACAACCAATTATTTGAATGCCATTTCATGTTAGGCACTGTGACGGGTGCAGAGGCCACAGACACCCACCAAGGGGTCCTGTCCTGTGTGCACTTAGGTGAAGTTCTAATAGGAGGATTATTGGCTGCTGGGAATTCCCCCAACACTGACAACTAGCCACGGAGGCTTCTATCAACTTAGCCCAAGACTCCGTGATTCCATCAGGTGAAGTCCAAGTGCAGGCATAACTTGTAAGCTGACATTTTATGGATGTAGAGTCTGTCCTCAGAACAGTTGCTGTCTGATTTTGCTGTCTCCTAGTTCCCTATCCATTTTCCCCGCCCAGCCAGTCCCAACCCTCCACGCTTGGGCTTTTTGCTCAGGGGTTTCTCATGGTCATTCCCAATATTGCCCACAGGCCTCCTTCACGGCCAGCCCTCCTCTCCCCTGGCCACACTCCTCAGCTCTTAGCAACAACTTTGCCCTATGGCTGTCTGGTGGGTGGGAGAGAGTCAAAAAGCCCTAGATTCAAACCCAACTCTGCCACTTATTGCTTATGTGACAATTAAGGAAATTATTTAATTTCTTGGACCCTTTGTTTCCACACATTTAGGATAGGGATTTAAGAAGGTGTAGTGGGACTAGTACCTGCGGGACTAGTACATGCAAAGTATCTAGCAGCACAGTCATTGAAGGAGTTTAATGAATGTTTGTTAAAGACTTTATTTATTTATTCTTAGAGAGGAAAAGAAGGATAAAAAAGGGGAGAAACTTCAATGTGCGAGAGATATATCAATTAGTTGCCTCTCGCACACCCCCAATTGGGGACCTAGCTCATAACCCAGGCATGTGTCATGACTGGGAATCAAACCTGGCAACCTTTTGGTTCCCAGGCCAGCACTCAAGCTACTGAGCAACAGCAGCTATGGCTCAACAAATGTTTCCTTGTCCTTTCTTGGCCCCACTTTCTTTTCCATCATCCTGATGCTTCTCTCTGCTCAGTGCTCAGACTAAACCCTGTGTCCATTTTCTCCCTTTCTTTGATAATGCTTCACCCCAAATGGCTCTGCACACACATGGCTGAGCCAGCCTGCAGGCTGCAGAACTGGGCATGGGCGGGCCGCCCACAGCAGCGCTGAGGGACTGGGTGGCCACCACTCTCCACCCCTTCCTATCCTGGAGGCTGATGGGAGCAGCCTACCCTGGTCCACAGCCAGAAGAGAAAAGGTTGCATGCTTACCTGCTGCACTTCCTTGCCTGATGTCAAATCTGCTCGCATCATCCAGGATGAAGTAAGGCTCTGATTTACCCACTAATAAATCCTTAGGAGAAAGGGAGAAAGGCCATGAGCATTTTTCATTCCTCTACGTCCCGGAGTGGTAGCCAAGACATCACTCACTTTGCCTTTGAGAAGTGGAGGTTAATTCCTAAATAGGTGCTTAAAAGTTCCCTTAATTCTTCAGATTTTATTGCTATCGGGAAGGCAAATGTCAAAGGGGTGTATATGTAACCGATGAGACAGGCAATAAATTCATAAGCAAACTGCATGAAGAGATAACATAAGACCTCAAGATGCTTACATCAGATATTCAGCCATCCTGGTCCTAACAGGCTGTGTTTTATTAAAAGCTTTTAAACAAGAACAAAAAAAAAAAAAAAAAAAAAGAATCAGATACATTTATTTGAGGAAATCTTTTATAAACATAATAAAGCTTTCCTTGTGAAATGTCATCTCTTAGAAGTCAGCATAGGCCTTCTGGGCTCCAGGTTCATGTCCAGCCATGTGCTATACAGGATGCAGCATGTGCGTTACTCGAGTCTTTGTCGGCTCCCTCGCTGACTCACAGGCTGATTCTGTAGGACCCCAGGCCCCTCATGCCTGGAGCTGTTACTCAGTGCCCAGTTCTTCCCCAACCTCCCACATACACAGTGTCCACTGGCTACAGTAAGGGATTGTTAGAGGGTTCCGCCGCGCTGAAATGTCTGGGGATATTTGGGGAACTCGCAGCAGACATGATGTTGGCAAGAGTTGCTGAAGGGGCTCCCCAGGCCCTTTGGGGGAACACTGGGCCAAAGGTCTGGCTCCTGCCCCAACCCCACCAACCTCTAGGCTGGCTCCCTACTAGGAGCCTGCGGGTTATCCTCAGCCTCCTCTCTGTGCAGCTTTTCCTGAATTTCCACTGCAGATATTTGCAGAATTTGGTAACTGTGCCTGTATCATTTCTTTTCACCTTGACAAATAAGTCCCCAGAGAGCAGGGCTGCAAAGTGGAAACAGATTCATGTGCTCAACAGCATTAAGCGTACAGAGTCCCATACCCCGGGAACCCTGCCAGCCCTTTGTAAACTACCAGCTTCCTGGTGGAGCCACCAAGGGGCAGGCAAAGGTGTGCAAGCACAGATGCCCAGCTGGCGTGTGAGGGGTAACCACTCACTGTGCCTCTTTCCACAAATAACCGACCCTCTCAGATGGCCGGAGAGGTGCCCATGGGCCCAGGCGCTGGAGTGCAGGCCCCAAGCCCAACCCTCTGTGGTCCCCAAGGCTGGGCAGAACTTGGGGGTCTCTCCTAACTCTGCAGAGCCGTGGAGGGATCAACGCTTCCAGTTTCAGAACAACTTGGGGCACTTCAATGACTTTAACTGTCCCCTCCCCTTGGACTGGAAAAAGGAAGTGAAGGTCCCAGTGGAGGCCTGCTGTCATTGAGCTGATGTTTAGACACTCCACTCATGGGAATTAAAGGAAAGGGTGGAGGCCATGGGGTTATTGGACCAGGAACAAGGTCAACATTGTTCAGCTTGCTTGACCCACTCCCAGTGCAATTCTTCTTCCTCGGTTTCTCCTGCCCAACCCCCCACCGCCCCCAGGGACTGGCAGAGGAGGGGTGTGCCTGTGCTGAGGGTTGATTCAGAGAGATTGGTGCGGAGTCCTGCTCTGCATTGCTACTTGGGTGACCCTGAGCAACTTCATTTCCTTTGCTGAGTCCCAGTTTCCTCCTGTGTAAACTGGGAGGCTCCAATGATAAAGCAAGCGATCAAGGCACTGGCTGTATGAAAAGCTTACTGAGGACCAGGTGTTTTATTCATGGACTGCCTGCCAGCAGCCTTGCAAAGCAAGAGCCCTTCCGTTTTACAAATGAGGAAGGATTTAAAATACTTAGCACAGCGCAGGACAGGGTGTATGTTCGATAAATATTGATTCCTTCCTTCTGCAATATTTGCAAAATTAAAAAAGCCATATTCATAGACAAACCCAGGACCTCAAATCCGTTCATTGTTAAACAACATAGAATAAAAACATGAATAAAGTAGTCGACTCATAGATGTTAGATAGAAAAAGACAAAAAGAGTCTGGCAAATATAGGAGCAAAGAAGTGATAAAAGAACACAATTAGTGAATTATAAAACAGAAAAACAAAATCAATAAAGCAAGTAAATTGTTCTATTTGGGGGAGAAGGCTTACATAGACCCAAACTTTGGTAAATATAGAGAACCCCACATAAAAGTAGAAGTAAAAATAAAGCTTCAGCAATATAAAAACATGATGTTAGATTCTATACTAATCAAAGTACTAATGATATTCTGATGAAAATTAACATTGCTCCAAATTAAAGTTAGTACATAACCTGAAAAGATCAATAACCTAGGAATAGTGTTTTAAAATGATTTTAAAAATCTCTCTAATATCTGTATAAAGTCTTGTAAGTACACATGATTTTCCTACTAAGTTATTTTAAACTTTCACGAAATATACAAGTGTCACTTTTAGTTTCAATGTTAAAAAAAAAAAGAAAAAGGAAAAGAAAAAGAATCCTGCCACCATTTATTCTAAAAAGCCAGCGTAGCCTGGAGGCGCAACCTGAGAGAGACAAAACACAAAGGAACACGCACTCTGCAGACTGATTTCAATTATGGAAATACACGGAAATAAATGAAATCTACGATAAATGATAAAACTAGCACAATATCAAGTAGGACTTTCCATAGAAACGCAGCATGCTGGGGTGGTTTCCAATCAGGATATCCAGTAATAGAAAACAGCATTTACATGGGCCCAAGAGGAAACAATTCATATCCTTCCACAAGAGTATTTGAAAATTACACAACTTTCTCTGATTTACCCAAATAATAAAGATTAAGATTTTTAAAAACCCCAAATTTTAGCTAATTAGGAATAGAGAAATATTGTGTTATAAAAATTAAATGGCAATTATTTCAAATCAAAAATCAATAGTCAGTATCAATCAAAGTGGGGCATAAAACCAGCATCTGAGTCCCCTGTCCTCTGGGCTGCCTGTTCCTTCCCCACCTTGGGCTGGGGGGTCCCCAAGGTAGAAAGAAATGGAATTATGCCCAGAAGCGTTTCATGTGCTGGGCCGGCACCCTGAGACAAGGCCCACAGGGAAAATACATAAAGATGGCTGGGAAGATGGTAACGCTCTGTTCCGGGCAGTTTCCTTTTTGCCAGGCGGGGCAGAAACACCAGTGCAGTGAGTGAGGTCACTCACACAGGGCAGAGTATCCACCCGGAGTGGGACTTGAATCATGAGTAGCTTCGCAGACATGGAGCTTGCTGGGTCACCTCCTACCTACCACTTGGATGTAGCGGGTCACCCAGAGGTAGAGCTCAGCATTCACGCAGTGAAAGGGTCAGGCCAGCTTCCCAACCCGCTGGGCTGCCCATGACTCAATTATCCTGACGCGTTTCATAGCCCAAGGCTTTATCGAAACTCTCTCCCACTCCTCACAATTGCCATCTAACACCAGCTGTAACAGCTGGTGATCCGACTGACCTTCCTGTACCTGGGAACAGCCCAGCCCTTTATCTAACCTGTTGTCCTGACTCACATCCTGAAACCCTGGGGCAAATGACCAGAAGAACAAGAGATTAACCCCTCCTCTATCCCCCTGCAAATCCTGAGCTTTTTCTCATAAAAAACCCATTCTTGGTACCCACCCCCTTGCCCCCACCCTGGGGCTACCGTCTGTTTACACTCAGCCTGCCTGTAAGCACAGCATCTAATAAAGGCACTTGGGTCGGATCACCCGGTTCCTGCCACCTCTCTTGTGTATTTCTAACCTGCAGCTTCTCAGATAACTCTGAGGTCCAGCAAGGGCAAGGGAACAGGCTCAGAGAAGCAGAGATGTTTTCCAGGTCCCACGGGAAGCAGGCTGGAGTGGGGCGATCCGCCTCCACAGTGCCACCCCTTCCCTGTGGGCACACCAGCAGGCAGGGCCTTCTCTACTTCAATGTTTTCTGATTCTGCGAGACAAGGAAACTGCAATGGTTGATTTTATGCGTCAACTTGACTGGGCCACAGGGTGCCCAGATGTCTAGCTAAACACTATTTCTAGGTGAATCTGCCAGAGTGTTTCCAAATGACATCAGCATTTGAATCGTGGACTCAGAAAAGCGATTGCCCTTCCCAGTGTGGATGAGCCTCATCCAATCCATAGAACAAAAGGCAGAGGATGGGAGAATTTGCCCTTCTCTGACTGACTGCTGAGCTGGGACAGTGGTCTTCCCCTGCCTTCGCACTGGGAATTACACCATCTGCTCCCTTCACTCTCAGGCCTTCCCACTCAAACTAAACCACACTGCTGGCTTTCCTGGGTCTCCAGCTTGCAGACAGCAGACTGTGGGGCTCCTCATCCTCCATAACCATGTGAGCCAATGCGTCATAGTACATATATCAACAGGATATAGTGATGTATCTCCTAATACTTATATGCTATAAGATACATATACCTCTTACTGGTTCTGTTTCTCTGGAGAATCCTGACTAATACAGAAGCCATAAGCAATAATCAAACTAAACATCCTTAGGAACTTAGTTCTGAATTGTGGAGCTCTTTCTCAATGCAAAGTTTGGAGCAATCTCTGTTATATTAGGTATGCCAGAAACTCACGTAATGCAAGGACCCCTAAAATCTTAGAAATACCCCGTGTGAAGTGGCACCGAAGCCAGCGCTCTCCCACGTTGTTGCTGGAGGGGTCTCTTCCAACATGACATCACTTGGTCTAATTCAACAGTGATTCTGCATCTTTTTCAAGGGATGCTCATGCACTTCCCCAGACACATGCTACTCTGCCATTGAGGGAAGGCCAGGTTTAGTCCTGCAGTTAGACACAGGCCCTTTCAGAGGGTGGCCAGAGTTCAGGCTGGGCCAGGTGGCAGCATCACTTCCTTTCCTATCTTTACAACAGAGACTGGCTTTATTGGCATCAAAGTTCTTTGGCTCAAAGGCAAATGGCTATTGGCAACTTCATTTTCTCTCACCTTCTGTTACTTGTTGCTTTTACAACCTACACTCTTACCTCCATTATGTTTACACTTTCCTTTTCTGAAGAACTTACTTTGGTCCCAAGGTGAATCATCTCTAGAGAATGATCCTCTCAGAAAATCTGCTCTGGCCACTGGGAAGAAGGAAGTTGTTGCCTAAGTAGGCCATGCTTCATTCTGGCGGGGTTGTGGGCCAGCATCTACAGCGGGGCTGGGTGCTGAGCTCCGAGCGCCCCTCAGATGATATGGCTGGGGCCCATAGTTCCCTATTCTTCCGTGGAGAAGTGAAATATTTTTCACTACAGAATAAGGACAACGATGAAATTTTAGTATCTCAATCTGACATACATTGGTCACTCGGCTGTGCTCTCCAGTATAGTAGCCACAAGCCAGAGTCGATTAAATTAATTTAAATTGAATCAAATTAAAACTTTAGACCCTCAGTCACACTGTTCATATACCAAGGGCTCAATAGCCACATGTGACTAGTGGCTACTATTACTGAACAGTGCAGAAACTTTCCATCATCGCACAAAGTCTATTGGGTAGAGCTGATCTACTGAATGGGGATAATAGTATTACCTACCTCACAGGACTGCTATGGCAATTTAATGAAATGTTATATGTAAAGTGCTTAGATTAACACCAAGCACATGTGCATGCTTGATAAATGGATGTATTATTATTATTATTATCCATGAAGTAAAAAGAACAAAGGAGACAAAGTAAGAGAAGACACGTGGAAAGTTCTAGAAAGTACTACACAAATGTAAGTGCTGTCAGATGTGGTAAGGGACACAAAGATATATGACATATCCACAAAGACATTTTAGAAGAAGTGCAAGAATGAAAAATGACACCCTGGCAGAACAGGAATGGGAACAGGCTGCATTTGATCCCTGGTGCCTCAAGTATTTTGGGTTCCTGGCATCATTCTGTGTCAGTCATTTCACTTCTGACCCCAAAGACTCCACAAGTTGAGATGCTGCTGGAATTAAGATAATAAGAAACTCTCAACCCTTTCTAAATAGATATTATAAATTCTTAAACACTATAAATATAGTCTCACATCTATTGCCTAGCACCTTATGAAAAAACAAACACTTTCAAAACGAATCTCAGCCTCTAAAAATATATATATAATTTCCTTCCAAACTTGAAATAGAGTTCTCTGTTCTGCTGTCCTTAGGAGGTGAAGACCAGAAGACCGTAGTCATTGCTGGGGACTTGTTACCTGTAGCTGGTAAGATGGACCCTAGAATGTTGAAGCACCCCATCTTTCTTTAAACAGCATCCAAGCCCCACCTGATCCCCACTAACATTCCCCTTCCCGAAGGCTACAAATCCATCCTGAGTTAGAGCAAGATTTGGCACCTCCACAGTTCTATGTCATTAGGAAATACCTTTTCCATATTCCCTAACTTGACTTTATTGAAAGTGCCCATAGAGCGCTTGGCATTTAATATAAGCTCAGTAATTCTTGCTGATATTATAATGTCTAGTCAGCTAACGATTATATTATTTTCTCTTGTTTTAGGTTCGGCTGGCTGCTTCTGGAAGCGTGAACAGAAGGTTTGAGCATCAGGGCATGCAACGTGATCCTTACCTGGGCATTTTTCATCAACAGCAGCCCTGATGAGGTTATAAAATGTTAAGTGGGCTGAGAAATGGCCTCTGGATCTTCATGCCCTGACAGTGAGATGGTTCTAGAAAAAGCAGCAGGTCTTATCTTGCTGCAAGGTGGAGTTAGTGGCCATCTGCTTGGGTAGGGGGTTCAGGGGGATTTGAATGTTGCCCTGAAATATCTTCCTAATGTTATAGCTGATGTCTGAAATCAAGACTTTGCAAGATTGAAAATATACATAAAAGTGAGAGAGGTGAGGCAATTATTTAAATTCACCCTATTACATAAGTGTCTGGCATGGTATCTTTGTTTTGAGGAAATTGTAACAGAAAAATGGAAAAGAAGATAAAGATGGTGATACCTGGAGAGAATAAAGAGAATGATAGATGGGCTCAATTATGGATGCAGAAGAGATGCCAGAGACCAGCTCATACCTATGTCTTCCCATTTTTCAGATGAGCATACTGAGGCACATAATCTAGCAATGTGTTCAGTGTTAGAACTGGCTTAGAATTTAGGGGTTGTGGTTCCTGGTACAGGGTCTTTCCATCCCACTGAAGATACAACACTGTAGCCGAGGGACCATATGAATTTCACTCTTCTTCCAGTTTGGTTTGGGCCATCCCTGAAAACCAAGTCTTAGGCCCATCCTCTCTTCAGTGGGAGGGACCATGACCGGTGCCTTGGAGAGCCCAGCTGATGAGTTTGTGCCTGGAGGGGCTCACTCACCTTGGGCCGCTTCCACTTCAGGCTAGAGAGGTCTTTTCCCTTGAGCAACTCCAAACCTATGGAAGAAATCTCAGCAGGGAATGTCTCATCCTCAAACAGCAGACCTCTGCTCAGGCAGTGGTCCCATAAGGTGTCAAAGTCCTGACCCTTGAACTTGATGATGGAAATCTTAGATAGAGGCTCCTGGTTGTATGCCATTGCTTTCCTTAGAAGACCTCCAATGTCTTTTCCTGTTAGGGAGAAAAAAAGATATTTTTGGGGATGAGCCATCAAGTCCCTCACATTGTGGGATATGAGCCCTGAAGGCATGTACTCAGATGTCCTCCCCCCTTACAGGTGAGAGGACTGAGACCCAGATCAACTGGCTGGTGACACAACCAGTTGGTAGGCAAGCTCAGACTTGAATCCAGTCATCCTTCCTCTCAGTTCAATTTTCAATCCACTGTACCAAACAGCTTCTCAGTCTGCTCTATGGGCACCAGAGACTACAGGGGTATTTGTACATTAATGAATATTTATTAAGTGCTGACCTTGTGCCAGGCGCTTTATGAATGCTGGCAATCCAAAGGTAAATACAACATGATCTTTATCCTCTGGGGGCTCATTATCAAGTGGAAAAGATAGATTAGACATTTCAACAACAGAAACTGAACTTCTATCACTGAACAGAAACTGTCTAATTAAAAATGTGTGCAAAGTCCTTTCGACATAAAGGAGATATGAACTGCCAAGGAGAATCCGGGATGATTCTCCCACAGGAAGTGGCCTTTGAGTTGGGCCTTGAAGGAAGGAGAATTTGTCAGGTGGAAAAATGGTAGGGATTAAAAAAATAGTCCCTCCAGGTGCCCTGAGTAGCAAGTGCAAGGAGGGTCAGGAGTTAGATTGGAAAGGTCATGGGTGTTAGAGGAAAGGGGAGGGCCTAGAGGGGACCGTGTGGTGGGGGCTAGGGATGAGGATTGTTGGCAGACGTGGCCAGGAAGGTAGGCGGGTGTTACTACACATGGACCCACAGAAAGTTTCTGGGACTGCAAATCTACATGTGAAAGCAGAGAGCAGGGAAAGATGGAAGAAAGAGGTTGATCACTGCAGTCTGGTAATTAATAGCATTTATTAAGGAAAATTTACATGAAGCATGTCTTGGGTGGCTGCAAGACAAAATGGACCCCTGTGCCACTTGGCAGGTGCCAAAAAATTACTTAGAGTAAAAGGGGGTAATCAGGGTACTAGCGTGGGATTGCTACCAGCAACGAGAAATCACATGCTTGACCAGATTAAGACAACAAGCTGTTCCAGGAACGAGCATATAGCAGGAAGAGGTGGAGGGATGCAGGTTTATATCAGAATGAACATCGATTATGACCAGATAAAGAAGGTTTGTGTAAAGCAACCTCCCTCTGGCCCAGATCCAGCTTGCAGGACAGACAGTGGTCATGTCAGGGAACAGTATTTTCTCTTCCGCAGTTGGAAAGATGGACTGTGAAATGCTTTGTATTTTACGAGCACTGCAGGGCCATTGAAGAGATGGGTTGTGATCAGATCTGTGCGTAGAATTATGGAGCAAGTTGGAGGCCACATAGGAGGATGCGGAGGGGCTGAGGCAGGGAGGAGGCTGGGGGGCTGCTGCATTTGTCCATGGGAGAAGTAGTGTTTGAGTGTTAATAGTGAAAATGGTGGAGAAACGGATTCCAGAGTCATTGTATAGGTAGAACCAACAGGGTTTGATGAGGAATTAAATATGGGGGAAAGGGGTAGAGAGGGGGAAAAAAAGCAGTGTGATGAACATTCAACTGGGTTTTGAAGTTTGCTTCTTGCACTCACCGCCTGTGAATTAGTATTCAAGCCTATGAAGTTATTTCTCCATCTGTACAAATTAATCATACCAGCTTTCTAAGGTTTGTTGTGGTATTAAGTGAGGTTTGACCTAACATACCAAACTGACTGAGTGACTGGCATGCAGTAGGCGTCCAGTAAATGGTGGTGCCCTAATTTCCCTAAAGAAATATCAAGGAAGTCTGGGCTTTTTTGTTCAGGAAGCTATAGATGTGTAACTGATGTCATTTACCAAAACATGCGTCATTCCCTCCATCAATGAGGCCAGCTGATCTGAATCCTGAATCCACACTTACTAGTTGGGGGACTTGAAAAGTTCCATAGCCCTTAAAGCAAGTTTCTTTGACCAAAGTCTGTTTAGGTGACACAGACCCCAATGTCCACATGTCCTATCCATTCCCACTTCACAGTGGAAAACGGAAGCAGGTGATGATAAGGAATGAGAAAGGAACATAAACAAACAACTTATAGAAAAAATGTGCAAATTTAAAATAGGAATTTTTCTTATAGTTAACTAATAATAATTGTATTAATATGTTGCAAATTATGTAAATAGCACAAAGTCATAGGCAGAATGTCCCATGTGAAGTGGCACTGCACTCACATATTTGGAGGGGATTATGCACGCAATTGTCTAGCAAGAGAGGTAGGAATTTACATTTGAACTATTAGGCTGAACCATATGAAACTGTCATTTTTGTAAGTCAAAAATGGTTGACTGGAGTCAGTTTCATATAGCTTAACCTGAGGTAAAAATGGTTGAATACAGGCAATTTCATTTGGTTTAGCCTCATATAGTATTTCAATGTGGTTCTCAACAAATAATAGGTGAAAACATGTCAATATATTTCCCCACTCTCTAAGGGGTTAAGAAGTGGGCCCACAAAAAATAATATAAATAGTGGTAAAGCTGAAATAATAGTAAGGTTTCATTTAAGAGCAAGACAACAATAATAGAATTGATTGTCAATTCGAGACAAAGGCAGTGAGGCCTGACAAGGGAGAGCTGTGAAAACCGCGGGTCTCCCGACTCTGCACAGGCCTGGGGACAGAGGAACTGATATAGCATTGCCAAGCCAGTAACACACTGGCTTCACCTACGAGGTACCTCTCAGTAAAATACTGGAATCACCTGTGCGATAAACTCCAGCAATGAACTCGTTTTAGTTTATGAAAACTAAATGGTAGTTACCCTTAATTACACAGTTATGGGGCTGTTAGTCAGCATCCCTTAACTGTATATAAAAATGAGGCTAAAGCATTGGGCTTGACTTCTCCATCAGAACCTCGCCCAGGCCCTGGCGATCAGTTCCCAGGCCACCGCAGGGCCCCGGCTGCCCACTATTGACCGGGTAGTGAACTGGCTCACTTCAGGAATCCCATTTTGAGACTCACTTTCCTCATTTGTAAAATGGAGATGGTAATATGCACGGCATAAAGTTGTGAGACTCCAATGAAACCATGCTTGTCAAATACTTAGCACTGTGACTGGTAAATAGAAAGGGATCACTCACTGATGGCTATTAGTGTAATGATCATCATTCTGATCATAAAAGAGACTGTGTGGAAGCCCCGCCCCTCTAGCCTGAGGCCTTGCTCTTATGAATGACAGGCGGGGCTCAGAGGGGTCTGCAGGGCTCAGAGCGACGCAGAGGTATCAGATCCACACCCTCAGCTCTGCCGCCGTTCTTCACCCACCGAGTGCCCGGTTGGAAGTGGAAGGGTGCTGGGGGACAGGTGGCAGGCCTAGGTATCTGCTGCTGGAGGGGGTAGGTTGCTCTGGGAGGGAAAAGCATCTCCATGAGGACAGAGGAGGCAGGAAGAAAGGGGAGACTCCCACACATGCAGACCTCACACCTACCAGGTTCACCGTTCTCTCTGAATTGCTCAGGGCTTTGTCAGGGGATGGCCTGTAGACTCACTTTTTAAAAACCTCTTTTAATTTTTCAATTACAGTCAGCATTCAATATTATTTTACATTAGGTTCAGGTGTACAGCATAGTGGTTAGACATTTATATAATTTACAAAGTGATCCCCCCGTAATTCTAGTACCACCTGGCACCATACATAGTTATTACAATATTATTGACTATAATCCCTATGCTGTAGTTCATTTTCCTGTTACTATTTTGTGACTAGCAATCTGTGCTTCTTAAACTTCTTAATCTAGTCACCTCTTCGCCTAGACCCCCAATCCCCCTTCCCTCTGGCCACCATCAGTCCATTCTCTGTGTCTATGTCCATTCACTCTCTCAAGCAGGAAGTATCATAGCACTTGGTGACATTTTGCTTTTGTGTGCAGTGGAAATGGCAAACCAATTCCCTGCCCCTCCAACCCCACCCATCACTTTTGGGAGGGCTATTTGGCTTAATTTCTTTTCTTCTCTAACCTACTTGCCTCACTTTGCAAGGTAAACAAAGGCAGGAGAAGACTCAGCTGCCCTAATTTAAAAAGAGAGATGGAAGGTCTACCTGATATTCAGGACAAATATCTGTCTTGCTGCTGGGTTATCTCTTGGGTCAAACGAAAAACATGGCACAGGAAAAGCTAAAAAGAAAGTGGCAAAAAGTGTTGATAAAAAGTTCTTAATGTGCAGAGCTCTGTGAGCAAATGAATGAGGACTCAGAACTAGGATGCAAAGTAGGCGAGAGGTGCAGGTGGAGGCTCTGCAGCTTGTTCTACTCCCCTCGGTGTCTAAAGAACAAATTTGATTCAGTCCTTCCCTATGTCTGCTGCTAAGTTGGGTGGCTGTCTTGGTCTCCTTGGGTGAAAGAAGAAAGAAAGAAAGAAAAAGAAAAGAAAGGAAGGAAGGAAGGAAGCAAGGAAGGAAGGAAGGAAGGAAGGAAGGAAGGAAGGAAGGAAGGGAGGGAGGGAGGGAGGAAGGAAAGGAAGGAAGGAAGGAAGGAAGGAAGAAAAGAAAAAGGAAAAAAAGCAACAGAAACCGAAGACTGGGAACTTCAACAAAAGACATGTATTTCCTGACAGTTCTGGAAGCTGAATGTCTAAGATCAGGACTCTCTTCCTGGCTGACAGACAGTCTTGCTGTGTCTTCACGTGGCAGACAGAGTGAGAGATTCCTCTTCATATAAAGCCACAGTCCTACTGGAAATTGGCGGTAAGAGGTTGAAAAAGGAGAGGGCCAAGAATGGGATCCTCTAATTCTGCACTTAAACTTGCACAAGTGTTAGCCTAAACTAACTGTACTATGGCTGTGTGGTAGAGAGCTGAACCAGCATAGCAAATGCTTAAAGAAGAAATGAACTGAAATTTGACTACTGCCCACAGAAGATGAGCTAGAATGCATAGACAGCTTGAGCTGATAGCCTACATTTTTTAAAATCAACATTCTCCAGAGGATTATAACGG